ATTGGATCATTCAAACTCTTGCCCTCTTTTACTAATTCAAATCTTCACCTTCACTGTCACTGTCTGCACTTGCAAGGCGCTTATCCTGTGTTAGGATTTATCCATATTATTGTTTACACAGATTATACGTACGTTTGACTGGCTTGGCGGCTTGACGGCGCTGTACTTTGCACCCTAGTGCCATACACCGGGTAGGCATTACATTGTGCTTGATTGTATATATTTATGTAGTATTGTATACTTCATATATTCTATCTGGGCATGTTTATACAATATATATGCCCTACCTTAACCATATTCATTTACAAATGTATATGTAATCAGTAAATCAAGGAGTGATCGCCCCTTGTAGTCTATTTGTCCAGAATGTGTGTGATAATAGTATTTCATCTGAAACATGAGATGACCGATTTTAAATCTTATGTATATATTACGACTTTGTATCTATTGAATCATGTATTGTTTCAGGGTGTTGTTATTATTTCGGAATAAAAGTTCTCACCCCCGTAACCAGTGTCCTGGGTTTATTAACATCCGACCTCTGTCCCGGTTACAAAAGTCATATCTTAGTTCCAACTACCCTGAAACAAAGATCTGTGTACATCCCATTACGCGTAAGGCCATAGCGACGTCATATCCGACAAATCAGAGCGACGTCATATCCGACCCTATCAGAGCGACGTCATATCCGACCCTATCGGAGCGACGTCATATCCGACCCTATCAGAGCGATGTCATATCCGACCCAATCAGAGCGACGTCATATCCGACCTTATCAGAGCGACGTCATATCCGACCCTATCAGAGCGACGTCATATCCGACCCTATCAGAGCGACGTCATATCCGACCAATCAGAGCGTCGCTCAACAAATCGGGGAAGCGTCAGTCGAAATGAGTTTTCTTATCATTGTACGGAAAATTAAAGGCGATGACTTCTAACACAATATACATGTTGCCTGATGGGAGTAATTACTTCATCATAAGAAACTTCAGCATTTTCCTGTCTTTGCCGAAAAAATGTCTAGATATTTCACAATAAAAGTTGTCAGTATTCCAACTGAGCTGACTCGCGCCTAACATAAAGCATGCGGTGTTTGCTTGGGGAGTAAAACAATACACTTTCGTTTGTCTGTTTCAGGTTAACAAGCCCATTCGTGGAGGGTGTGTCAACACGGTTTGAGATATTTTGCAGTCAGGCGAACATTAATCGATTTAAGGTAAATTCACATGTATCTTTGGCGTTGATGAAGTACAGACGTGGCGTGCATAATAAGTAGTAGATCCGATGAACGGACACGTCCACAGTATGACAGCTGATCCAATAAACGGCCAACACAAGAGCGGCTTCGTGTTAATGTGTGTATACTTGTAATTCAGACCATCTTCTCTAAAGATACCGTCGTACCAGCATACCACCGTACCAGGCTACCATCATACCAGCATACCGTTATACCACACTACCGTCATGCCAATGTCCGACATGAAGAACGAAAATGACAATTATTATCTACAATTACCCTGCTAAAGTTAGTATCAAGGGAGATAGATTGTTTCTTTGATTGGCCACGGTGCTGTAATGGTGTCTACTTTTGTTGACGGTCATGGAGCGCCGACCTTGCCATGGTAACTCGGGGCAGATCTGAGGGAGAGAAATGATTTGTCTGTGCTGTGGATACCTAAAGTCTCGTGTTCACATTAACAGTTAATGTTGGATTCCTTGTATCGCTGATCTGGTGCTTCACATATTAACCGTAAATGTTGGATTCCTTGTATCGCTGATCTAGTGCTTCACATATTAACCGTTAATGTTGGATTTCTTGTATCGCTGATCTAGTGCTTCACATATTAACCGTAAATGTTGGATTCCTTGTATCGCTGATCTAGTGCTTCACATATTTACCGTAAATGTTGGATTCCTTGTATCGCTGATCTGGTGCATCACATATTAACCGTTAGTGTTGGATTCCTTGTATCGCTGATCTGGTGCTTCACATATTAACCGTAAATGTTGGATTCCTTGTATCGCTGATCTGGTGTTTCACATATTAACCGTAAATGTTGGATTCCTTGTATCGCTGATCTAGTGCTTCACATATTAACCGTAAATGTTGGATTCCTTGTATCGCTGATCTAGTGCTTCACATATTAACCGTTACTGTTGGATTCCTTGTATCGCTGATCTGGTGTTTCACATATTAACCGTTAATGTTGGATTTCTTGTATCACTGATCTGGTGTTTCACATATTAACCGTAAATGTTGGATTCCTTGTATCGCTGATCTAGTGCTTCACATATTAACCGTAAATGTTGGATTCCTTGTATCGCTGATCTAGTGCTTCACATATTAACCGTTAATGTTGTATTAATTGTACCGTTGGTCTAGTGCTACAAATATAAACCGTTAGCGTGTAGCATTAACCGACATGCCTTAGTATTGTGTTGCCGGGAGTATTTACTGTTAATATTGTGTTTTCTATAAAGACAACGCTAGACTGTAACGGTGCACATCAATTGATGTAATTCGACGCGACTATGCCTGAACATTTTCCTTACGCGTGCTGTACCGTTGTGACTTATTGATAATGAAAACAACCGATGTCATTACCGGAATCGTAAATCAACTCCGCTATTTGACAAAGATTTCTTATTAATATGTAAATTTATTTCTTATCCTATTTTAACAGTTATTCTGTAGTAATAATTATGTTTATGTTGGTGTTTATTTTGCTACACCACCAACTGCGCAGTTTTGCTTTTATAGGCCATTTTTCAGTTTATTGAAGAAGTGCCTATTATGTGACGGCTGACAACGTTGTCATGGTGATGTAGAGGTAGTTAAGTAGATATCCATGGTGATGCACAGAATGGGTCAGATGGTGTTCGCTCCGTAACTTGGGTTGTATATTTTAATTTCAATTAAAAATAAACATGTTGCAATACTCCGTGTAGTTGTATTGTCTATGATGTGAGCTAGTTGTCTTATTTTCACAGCTACTACGTGTCCAGCATTAAGGAGTAGAGTTAGCTCTGTGGTTCGAGCGTAAAATTTTGTTTTATTACTTCATATATTTACCATGGAATCATCAAGCAACTTGGCACCCTGGCTTCAAGCAAATTAAGTTGTATGTTCCTGGCCTTAGCCTTTCTCGTGGAGTCTTCACAACGTTATATAACGATGGCTTCATTTACAGGTTACACAACACCAAATGTTTTCCCATTGACTTCTATAGTAACCTTATATGTTTTAAAAACATATCCAGGCTATCAACAGCCATTCCATGTACACATGGGTACACTCTGGCCTTTAAACTACCATAAAACAAAATATCAGGCAAACTTGTCTGGCTCGTTTTGCGAGCACAGGAAGCGGAACACATCAACCCCAGTTCCGCACCAAATGTCACCTACTGGAAAATATTTGTCACACAATAAGCATAAGTGATGGTGATAAAAATGACAGCACTAAATACTTAAAATTGTGGTCAGTTTTAATTACTGGTTGGATATGCTTTTAAAAAAACATAAACATCTCACACTATTTCATCCAATCACAGCTGTCACATGTCTCTGTCTCTTCAGTTGTTTACATACGGTTCTCGCTCAGGGAGCATGTGATTCTGATTTAGTGTAGTGGAACCTTCAGTAAAACAGATTTTTCGTCCTCGCCTCTATATTCTCGCTGGTCTTGTCTGGGTTTTACCAATGTGTCATGTGACCTATTTACAGCATGGGAAACTCACCGTTTCACGACATTTTACACTATCAAGTCTAGTAAGCATATCCTTTTCGAGAACTGGGTATGGCTGAGAGGTAGGTGAGTGAGTATGTTTACGCCACTTTTTAAGGCAATATTCCACGAATATCTAGGATACCAGAAATGGACAACACATTGTACCCAAGTGGAAACAGAACCAGGGTCTTCGGCTTGACGAGGCTGTGACTTATGTTTGGTTTTGGTTTCTTGTTTAATGATGTGTGTCAACCAAGTCAGCGAGCCTGACCACCCGATGCCGTTAGTCGCCTCTTACGAAAACATAGGTTACTGAGGATCAATTCTAACCCGGATCTTCACGCGGAGACAAGCATCGGTTACAGGGCCCGTATTCTCGAAACGTTCGTAGCCCTAAGAGTTCGTAACTTTGATCGTAGGCAATGTTTTAAGAATGGACTTAAGAAGTTCGCAGTGCTACGAAAGTTTCGAGAATAGCTAGCCTGAAGGATAATTCTAACCCAGATCTTCACGGGTCTCTTTTAGAAGTGTCAGAACTCAAAGCAGGGTTAATCATACAGCCCCGCCTAAATCATGGTCCTGTGGTTATCAATCAGATGAAGCCACATGTTGGCGAGCGAGCGTATTATGTTCCACCGGTGGCAATTGCCACAACACATGCAGGTGCAAGTCAATTGTTCACCTGAATTGAATGACAAGGGAACCTTATAGTACAAGTATAGTTAACGCTTTTCTTTATTTTATAGAACTTTCATTCCCTGCAAATACTTATATAATATTATTGCATAGACATACACTGAATTATTATAAATTACAAACCTATTTATATTTTGCACATGTGAATTCTAAATTGTTAGCAGACACATGAACTTAAAATGCCAATTGTCTTGAGGTATGTTTTAAGTCAGGGTTTTTCTTTGTAGCCAAAATGTTTTCACCACCAAATTTGGTTGGGTAGAACTAACAGCCAACGTCACCCTACCTGTTCAGTCCCCTCAGTAGTTGGCACATCACACTGACCGGTAATCTTTCTATTTCTGAGGTCACCTAATGTTCACTTCTGTAATTGTTATCATATGTGAATGTTGAACAGTACCGTCCAACGGTTGTGGACATAAAACTACGAAACGTGTTATTTATTTATTTGATGTTGTTGCCCATATCAGTTTTGACAGATGGTGGACCGCTTAGACTGACAAAATGAGCCGTTTCCACCAAACTGGATATTCCTTTTTGGCGCTAGTCAGTTTTGACATAGTCTGGTTTCAGACAAAAATGAAAATAAAATAAGTTTCGGTTTCGATTCACCTGAGCTCCTCCATTCCAGCGAACGTGAACGGTGTGCAGAATTTTATACTGATCTTCTCTACAAAGAGTCATATATTTGTTCACATAAGGTAAGCGGACTAGACTCTTTATCGTAGGAACCAAAATGTCACTTCTTTTGATTATGTGTGTGTGTGTGTGTGCTATATACAGTGAAGCCCCGTTAGTCCGGACTCCGATAATCCGGATGTCTCACCTCCCGGACGATTTCAGCTTGTTACCAATCTATGCCTATATAATTTACCTCGATAATCCGGAAATTCGGTTTCCGGAACCGGACGGTAAGTAGCTGTCACCAATCAGTAAAATAAACAGTAAATTGCTTCACAGTCCGGACACTGTAAGTCGTGTTCACGAACCGTAACAACACCTCCCGGCGATGTTTACTTAATTAACTGGCCAACTGGGTTGTTGTTTTAATTAGACAGACGCGGTCACATGGACTTAAAGTGATTTTGCCTTACGACAATGCTGCAAGTCACAAGTGTGCTTCGCTAACTTTGCGAAATGTGACCAAATACCACGTCTCATATTCAACCGATGGATGCAGGAATCATTCGGACATTCAAAGATTAGTGTCATTTTTGTAATAGTTAGGGAAGCAACTTGGGTCTTGATTCAGTAGTCCGGACTATTCGCAATCCGGACAAATTTACTGAGAAACGCAACCGTCCAGATTAACGAGGCTTCACTGTATCTATAATTCTCACTTTTGTATGCCGGGTGTTCGCGAAAAAGGTAACCAGTATTTCAGTGGAATGTATAAACACGATTTCCACAGCAAATTGCTGGATATCTTATTTGTAATCTCACGCTTTTCTGTTATTGCAGTTTGTGTGTGACGCCGGAGGGGTAGTATTTATATGACTGATCACCCAATGCACTCACTGCGAATGTGTTAAGAAAGGCATACACACTATTATTCAGGATAGCAGCGCTACATGCAGTAAAGTGTGTAACACAAAACACAGATCTGACAGGGGAGAGTAGCATGTATTTGAAAGGACAGTGATTCTACAAAATGTGTTTGTTCTTATTCTTATGTTCAAGCACAAACCTGCTTGGTATCTGCCGAAACGTACCAGTGAAAGAAAAAGATATCATTACGATGTTTAAACTTTCTGTGCTGAAACACAATTTGGAAACTGAGTCATCGTTTATATATAACACACTTTATACAATGATACCCGTGTGATAACTGGTGTCATCCTATATACCATGATACCTTGTGTGTCATCCTATATACCATGTTACCTTGTCATCCTGTATACCATGTTACTTTGTGTGTCATCCTATATACCATGATACCTTGTGTGTCATCTTATATACCATGTTACCTTGTGTGTCATCCTATATACCATGATACCTTGTGTGTCATCCTATATACCATGTTACCTTGTGTGTCATCCTATATACCATGTTACCTTGTGTGTCATCCTATATACCATGTTACCTTGTGTGTCATCCTATATACCATGATACCTTGTGTGTCATCCTATATACCATGATACCTTGTGTGTCATCCTATATACCATGTGTACCTTGTGTACCTTGTGTGTCATCCTATAAACCATGTTACCTTGTGTGTCATCCTATATACCATGTTACCTTGTGTGTCATCATATATACCATGTTACCTTACCTTGTGTGTCATCCTATATACCATGTTACCTTGTGTGTCATCCTATATACCTGTATACCATGTTACCTTTGTGTGTCATCCTATATACCATGATACCTTGTGTGTCATCCATATACCATGATCCTTGTGTGTCATCCTATATACCTTGTTGTGTCATCCTATATACCATGTTACCTTGTGTGTCATCCTATATACCATGTTACCTTGTGTGTCATCCTATATACCATGATACCTTGTGTGTCATCCTATATACCATGATACCTTGTGTGTCATCCTATATACCATGATACCTTGTGTGTCATCCTATATACCATGATACCTTGTGTGTCATCCTATATACCATGATACCTTGTGTGTCATCCTATATACCATGATACCTTGTGTGTCATCCTATATAACATGTTACCTTGTGTGTCATCCTATATACCATGTTACTTTGTTTCTCATTCTGTATACGCTGTTACCTTGTGTGTCATAAAAAAAACGTTACCTTGTGTCTCATCCTATATACAATGATAGTTTTTGTGTCATCCTATACACCATGATACTTTTTGTGTCATCCTATATACCAATATCCTATGTGTGTCATCCTATATACCATCATACCTTGTGTGTCATCCTATATACCATGATACCTTGTGTGTCATCCTATATACCATGATACCTTGTGTGTCATCCTATATACCATGATACCTTGTGTGTCATCCTATATACCATGATACCTTGTGTGTCATCCTATATACCATGATACCTTGTGTGTCATCCTATATACCATGATACCTTGTGTGTCATCCTATATACCATGATACCTTTGTGTGTCATCCTATATACCATGATACCTTGTGTGTCATCCTATATACCATGTTACCTTGTGTGTCATCCTATATACCATGTTACCTTGTGTGTCATCCTATATACCATGATACCTTGTGTGTCATCCTATATACCATGATACCTTGTGTGTCATCCTATATACCATGTTACCTTGTGTGTCATCCTATATACCATGATACCTTGTGTGTCATCCTATATACCATGATACCTTGTGTGTCATCCTATATACCATGTTACCTTTGTGTGTCATCCTATATACCATATACCTTGTGTGTCATCCTATATACCTTGTGTGTCATCCTATATACCATGTTACCTTGTGTGTCATCCTATATACCATGTTACCTTGTGTGTCATCCTATATACCATGTTACCTTGTGTGTCATCCTATATACCATGTTACCTTGTGTGTCATCCTATATACCATGATACCTTGTGTGTCATTCTATATACCATGTTACCTTGTGTGTCATCCTATATACCATGATACCTTTGTGTGTCATCCTATATACCATGTTACCTTGTGTGTCATCCTATATACCATGTTACCTTGTGTGTCATCCTATAAACCATGATACCTGGTGTGTCATTCTATATATCATGACACCTTGTAAGTCATCCTATATACCATGTTACTTTGTGTGTCATCCTATATGCCTTGATACCTTGTGTGGCATCCTATATACCATGTTACCTTGTATGTCATCCTATATACCATGTTACTTTGTTTGTCATCCTATATACCATTTTACTTTGTGTGTCATCCTATATACCATGATACCTGTGTGTCATCATCCTATATACCATGATACCTTGTGTGTCATCCTATATACCATGATACCTTGTGTGTCATCCTATATACCATGTTACCTTGTGTGTCATTCTATATACCATGTTACTTTGTGTCTAATCCTAAATGCCATGATACTTTGTGTGGCATCCTATATACCATGATACCTCGTGTGTCATCCTATATACCATGTTTCCTTGTGCTTCATCCTATATACCATGAAACCGTGTGTGTCATTCTATGTGCCATGATACCTTGTGTGTCATCATATGTACCATGATACCTTGTGTGTCATCCTTATATACCATGTTACCTTGTGTGTCATCCTATATACCATGATACCTTGTGTGTCATCCTTTATATCATGATACCTTGTGTGTTATTCTATATACCATGATACCTTGTGTGTCATCCTATATACCATGATACCTGTGTGTCATCCTATATACCATGATACTTTGTGTGTCATCCTATATATCATGATACTTTGTGTGTCATCCTATATACCATGATACCTTGTGTGTCATTCTATATGCCATGATACCTTGTGTGTCATTTCTATGTACCATGATACCTGGTGTGAATAATCTGTATTAATCTAGTTATTTTACTGCCGTTCGTTGACAGATTGTTAAATTTGAGTTGCGGTTATTATGAATTCACTCACTCACACAATGAACAGGACTTGACTGGGTAAAGAATACACATATTCCAGACAAAATCCTGTCTATAGAGAGTGTTATAAACTAAAGTTTAACCCTTAATTTAACACAGCTGATCTGATATCAGAACAGTCAAATCTTAGTTCTCACTACCGTGCAACAAAGGTCTGTGTACATCCCATTACGTGTAATTTCATTGGTCGGTCAGAGTTTGCGCGAGGTTGTTCTGATGTGACCCCTTCGTCAGATTTCCTCAGATATTTGTTCAGCATTATCGAGTACTAGGATCTGACTTTAATGTGATCGTTGCTGACCCAACTCTTGTGTAATTTTGATATGATAGAAAAGATAACAATTACTTCATCATAGGAAAAATCATAATTTCTTCTGTCTTTGCCGAAAAAGTGTCTTGGTATTTTACAATCAGTTTTGTAAATATCTCGGCACAAGTATAAAACATTCGGTGTTTGCTGGGAGTAAATGGCCGCAGTTTCGTTTGTCTGTTTCAGGTCAACACGCCCATTCCTGAAGGAAGGTACAACGCTCTTTGCGATATTTTGCAGTCAGGCGAATAGGAATTGATTTCAGGTAAATTCAGATATATCTTTGGCCTTTATGGAAGTATAGACGTTAAACCTGGCGTGCATGCTTAACGTAAATCCACTGAACCGACACGTCCACGGTATGACAGCTGATCCAATAAACGGCAACATTAGAGCGGCTTCGTGTTAATGTGTGTATACTTTTAATTCAGACCATCTTCTCTAAAGATACCGTCGTACCAGCATACCACCATACCAGCATACCATCGTACCGCCCTACCAGGATACCACTGTACTAGGATACCACTATAACAACATTCCAACGTACCAGGACACCACCGACATGAAGAACGAATATCTAGTGATTCTTACCATGCTAAAGTTAATATCAATGGTGGTGTTTAAAACGTGCTCTCCGAATGACAGTGAATTCGTCGACTTGGTGCTGTTCGGGGTCGGTCTGTCCTCTGCGGGAGATTTGTGCATAATGGGGATTACTACCCTGCTGGGATGCTCATTCTTATTGTTGCTCGTGTGATTTACTGCGTGGCATTTAGCCGGAAGTGGCACTCTCCTTGTCTAGCTGTACTGCCGTTCTTACTATGTTGTCTGTTGTTGGGTGTCGCTCAGTTTAAATTTAAAGAAGTCATGTTCATTATTCATGTGATCGTGGCCACAATCTTTTCATGCCTAACGTTTGCAGCAGCACGAGACACAAGTTCCGTCTGGAACTGTAGTGGCAGCTTAATGTTAATGGTAGCGAATGTTGTAAATGCTGTGTCCCACGACTTTGGTATACCACATGTTAATATAGTCTCGGAGATTGTTTCCTTGACTGGCCACGGTGCTGTAATGGTATCTACTTTTGTTGACGGTCACGGCGCGCCGACCTTGCCATGGTAACACGGGGCGGATCTGATGGGAGAGAAATGATCTGGACTGTTGTGATACCTAATGTCACGTGTTCACATTAACCGTTAATGTTGGATTCCTTGTACCGTTGGTCTTGTGTTACAAATGTTTACCGTTAGAATGTTATTGCTGCATGCATTAACTATTGTGTTGCCGGGAGTATTTACTGTTATATGGTGTTAGAATGTTAAGACAACGTTAGAATTGTGTAACTGTGCATATCAACAGACGCAATTCGACTATGCCTGAACATCTTCCTTATGCTTAAAGTACCGTTGTGACTTATTGATACTAAAGGTCGATGTAGTAGCGGAATATGGGGTGAATGTTGGTGGGTGGATGGAACGCACACAACATAACGCTACTTGTGTTCTCAGATGACAGCCTTTTATTATTGACATGAATGTTGGAACAACTCACTGTGTGGCAGTGAGTGTGCATCAGCTCTCATGCAGTCACGGATCAATCATATACATCATCATGGATCATTCTGAATAATAACATCTTCATTATGATCCAGAAATGTTCCAGAAAACACAAATATACCACAGTGATGTGATCCTCCACAAAAATCTATGTGACTGCCAACAGGTTATGTGTGACAGCCACCTTTAAGACTAAACAAACAATAGGTGGCAAGCTGACCAGAGAAACTGAGGCAGAGGGACAAAAGAAGCTTGTGCAGAATGTAAGCGCATGGGTCAGAGCCTGGCCTGACCCAGTAGGGTGGCTATTGTTAAATGAGTAATTGCATAAGTGCAGGGATACATTTAACTGAGAGGGTTTGTACAAATATTTAAAACATCTGTAACCTTAAAATCTGACATGTATACATTCTGTTGTATACAATAACTATATACAAGTACTTAAAATTAAAACTTACAAACTATGAAACAAATAATGATTAAAACATGACTTGGCCACATATAATATTTGGAACAATAAAGCCAGTACCCGGAACATCATCAACATTCGTAGTTAAGATGAGACAACAACCACATATGTAGATAACATTGTCGGTCTGTCAGCTTGGTGTATAGCGAGCATGCCTTAACAAAGTATAGCAACGGATTGTGTCTTTGATAGAATCAATGAGTAAATACAGTCAAAAAGCGTTGTAGAATTGCATCCAGTTGTCCCAGTTTCGAGATAGCCGCAATAACATAACTAAAAAGGAATACGGAACCAAGCTTTTACTTCGAGACAAGATGTTGGACTGTTTGCTCAGCGTCGCATCAACAATAGGCTACTCAGGGCGAGCGTTTCATGAAAACTTAAAACAGTTCTGTACTCAGTGCATGTCAATCTAAAGACAATAATTACAATTAAAGATTAAGACAACCTATTAATATCACCAGCATGAAGTTTGTTCAATATAACGGTATTTGTTAAATACCCCTCTTACGAACCCAGAATATCCACCTGTTCAACCAAACGATCAGGGTGAATCCGTCTCCCGGGCCAAGAACATCCTCTTGTTCATTAAAACGTTTATTGGAAGTGACGCTCTTGCTGACACGATCAGTGACAATTCCACTCTCACAAACATTGATGATTCTCTTTGTTCAGCAAAATGATAACTCTGAACATGAATACAATATTTTTACAATGTTCCTTCACAGCAAAACATTAAATTTTGTGATATTGTGTAAAATAAATCGAATATTTCCGAAAAACCTTAAGCATGAGGGCACATTTTGAAAGATAATGTTGCCATTACCATTCGCCCAAGAACTCAATGTACATGCATAAATGAAGTCATAGTAACTGTTCACCAACGATATCTTCAGTTCAGTTGCGTCGTTCACGTTTAAACAGTGCCTTCTCCAAGCCCATCATTGGTGCTTCGAATACAAGGGAGACAACAAACGATAGGCCGTATGTAATCACGAGGAATCCCAGAAAGTTGAACACCTGAAATGAAAATAAGTGTGATTGGTTTTGTACGTGAACATTTGAATAAGAGCGACAGCAAACAGTTATATATTATGCAAATTGCAAGAAAGGCGGGTTCTACCGTCAGCTAGCCTTGTTGGGGAACACCTGGTGTCATTACGGATGTTCAGTGATATATTCCTACGTTTTTTCACTATTTGCGTTTTGAGTGGAATTTGTTTAAACAGATATTCAAGACTTGTTACTCCCTTGTGTTATATACCAGGGTTAGAACTGGTCTTCAGTAGCCCATGCTTGTCGTCATAGGCGTATAGCGGGATCAGGTGGTCAGGCTCGCATGTCATCGTATCCCAACAGCGTAGATCGATTGATCACTGGATTGTCTGGATTGTCCAGACTCGATTATCTACAGATCGCCGCCATAAAACTGGAATATACCTGGAATATTGCTGAGTGTGGCGTTAAACCTTTTACAGAGCAAACAAAACATACCCAGCTGGTACGTCCTGCTGCACCCGAACCACAGGGCACTCAATCTGCATAATTTGTTGGTAGCCTGGCAGTGTCCAGCAGTATGGATTAAGGAGGTCGGCTGTCTAGACAACAACTTACAATGTTGACGTCGGATTGAAGAACGGGCTCCTGTGTGTAGTATGGATTAAGGAGGTCGGCTGTCTAGACAACAACTTACAATGTTGACGTCGGATTGAAGAATGGGCTCCTGTGTGTAGTATGGATTAAGGAGGTCGACTGTCTAGACAACAACTTACAATGTTGACGTCGGTTATGAAGAACGGGCTCCTCTGTGTCATGTACTGGTACATGATCACCATCGGGTGAATGAGATAGGCGCAGTACGTCAGGCGGCTCAGAGTCACAAAACCAGACCAGGACATTAACGTGTTCACGAAACCTGAAACATGGTCAATGATTGGATCATATACTGAATGCATGTTCTTATGATCATATTCTGAATGCATGTTCTTATGATCATATCATCAGTTAGTAGACACCAATAACCCAATTTCAGAAGATTTAAAAGTAATGGTGTTTTTTATCCTGATTTATGTTGACCAAATGATGCTCTATGAAATTTAGTATTTTTATTTCAAAATTTGTCAAGATTCGGATTTAAATTTCATCTTTTTTTTGTATTTCTAGTTTTACATAGCCTTTGGTTCAAGCTTTCTGTTTCAACACCTATTGGCGGCCTACTGTGTGGATATAAAGGCTTAATGTGGCTGAGGTGTGGGAACTAGAGTAAGGGTGTTAAAACGATATCAGGCATATTAGACAAAACGGCCTAATGGTGTTGCGCTTTGTACATTTTCTTTATAACGAGGGCGATCAGTGTAAATAATATCTGTCTTCGTCCTGGTACAGAACTGGTCTTTGAGAGAGAAACTGTAACGGGTTGCAGTCTAGTAACAGGTAAATTACATACAGGGCACCTTCCTACGTTATTCTTTATACGTAAGGCACCCTCTCTAAATTTGATCAATAGTTTACGGAATTTATATTCCAAATTGGAAGATAAATGCCCCTCTAGCTCAAGAAGACTCTTATATTCTGTAAATAACTTAAGGAGTACAAGAGTAGATGTCCAATTTTGGTTAAACATGTTGATTCAGAATTGGATACTGTTGTCCCACCTCCGTTCCCTGTTGCACACGCCACCACAACCCAGCAGACTGCAGCGCCCCACACTGTCCTGTGAGCCGAGTTGTAAAATGCTGACACGTCACTCGGCATCGGCGTCCCATTGGCTGATTCGTACGGCCCATAAAGCACTGCGAGAGCGGAAGCAGCTGCCAGAGCCCACCCGACAAGCACTGCTTTCTGAAGTAAGAATTGCACGAGCATAACTCTCGCAAACAGTTTATTCTTTTCTGATGTTACGTGTGGTAAATCAGTTGTACATGTGAAATGCAAACATTCTATTTCTTCCCCATTTTATAAAATATAAACGGAGTTTTTATCAGATTGTTAGGTGACCGGCAGTGTATGAAATAAGGCCCGTCCGACCGCCCAAGACGGTCTAGATTTCTGACGGACGGTCTAAATTTACAGCTAGCCAGCCCGATGGTCTGGTAAAACTTTTGATGTTCCATACATCTGAGTAAATTCACCATATTTGGTCTGGTTAAATCCATTTGGGGCTGGTAAAATTTTGAAGTTACCAGCCCTGATGTCTGGCGGTGTTTTGGCTTATTTCATACACCGGTGACCGGTAATGATTTCTATAACAACACATAAACAGTGCCTTAGTTTCGCAGTAACTACTAAATCTAGATAAGGACTAGAAAGGGGAACCATATGTCTTTAAGCACTGTACCTTTATATCTTTAAGACTTCGTAACCCAAAACAGTGAGACCCTATACCCTTTAAATCTTTCTCAAAACTGACACAATGATTTATCATAAAAACCTTCTTACATTCATCACAGGTGAATATTTCTTCCAGTAATTTTAACTTGCCCCTACCCCACGCACGTCCATCTACTATTTGGAGATTCATTTTCAGTTATATTGATGTGTGAACGTTTGAGAATTTCTTATAGACAGAACTCAGTTCATACATAACCGCAATACTAGAAAGGTACTAACACCGAATGAACATATCATCGAATACAGCAGACTACGGATATAACGAACTCAATGGGGCCTCTTAATCGTAGTTCATTATGATCGTAGTTTGTCATACGCATTTCGACTCAAATATACAGCTATGGCCAGAACAAAGACGATACTTGGTTTTAAACGTAGTTAACGGTTTCAAGGGAAATGCGCGCAGACGCATTTGCAGTATTCCCGAAATACCCAGTGGAGATTACTATAGGCCTCATTTCATTGTAACAAATTACCCTGTCTGTGAAACACATTGTTACCCATGCTCTTAATCAAGCGATACTGAATAATATCAACATATCACTATACAATTACTCCTGTGTTTTACTACCAAATCGGGTGGTGGGGTAGCCTCGTGATTAAAGCGTTGGCTCGTCACGCCGAAGACCCGGGTTCTATTCCCCACATGGGTACAATGTGTAAAGCCCACTTTTGGTGTCCCCCGTCGTGATATTGCAGGAATATTGCTAAAAGCGGCGTAAAACTAATCTCTCTCACTCACTCACTGTTATCTGGCCTCCATGTAATCTGTCTGGTTTCGCTTTGGTCACTAAGCTGCAGGTTCAGACTTACTTTATTTAGGCGGAGTGTACAGTTGGTTTTGTACAGGAGATACCCGGCGGCTATACCAATGATGTATGGACCCATCCGACAGTAGGGTGTTATGTAGTAGTCGGCGAAATACCCAAGGCCCCTGGAAAAGTTAGGCTTTGGACTATTTGGAATGGGTAATGCAGATTTTTCATTTCGTTACGCTGAATAATATAGAGACGTATCAGTGCCGCAGAAAATATCTTGTACGTCGATGATACGTCTTACGTAAGATACGTTCATCCACGTAACATATACTTATATCTACGTAGAACATACTTACATCTGGAAGTAACTTTATCTACGTAGAAACTATTTTCATTTACGTCGATTTTTTAACGTTTACGAAAACGATATCATAGTCTACTTTGGAGAAGGCAGCATCTACTATCGAATCATCGACTAATATTGTAAGCATATTTTCTCGCGTAATCAAAAAAAGTTACGGGTCCATTGTCTCAATTGATAATGACGAAAGTTTGACTTTCATGATAAATGTGTGTATTGATGAACTGTCTGAACATTAGAGGCACTTTTGTTTACATGTGCTAGTGTCAGAGGTTACTAGAGTCACATGAAACATATATGACCGAGTCATAAAATCCACATGCACTACTATAAATCAATAAAACGATAATTATATAGCTAGAGAAAAGCTGGAAAACCTACTGGTTTCCCTCCGTCTGGTACAAGAAGCCAGGGGTAAGTTGTCGAGCCTTGATATCAAACCAGCAGTCGTGAGAGTCGCAGCCAGGAATATGCCGATCACAATCATGCCGAGCATCTCCGAACTGGAAGTAAGACAGAAAGAGTTGTTGTTTGAAGCTACAGTCAATATTCCAGTTTGTCCACGCTCTCTCTGGGTCTAAAACAGTGGCTAAAAGCATGAGCACTCCGTGACAACCAACGAAAACCAGTGGCTTAAAGCATGAGCACTCCGTGACAACCAAAAAGAATCAGTGACTAAAAGCATGAGCATTCCGTGACAACCAACGAAACCCAGTGGCTGAAAGCATGAGCATTCCATGACAACCAACGAAAACCAGTGGCTGAAAGCATGAGCATTCCGTGACAACCAACGAAATCCAGTGACTAAAAAGCATGAACATTCCATGACAACCAGCGAAACCAGTGGCTAAAAGCATGAGCATTCCGTGACAACCAACGAAAACCAGTGGCTGAAAGCATGAGCATTCCATGACAACCAGCGAAACCATTGGCTGAAAGCATGAGCACTTCATGACAACCAACAAGTAATGCCCCACAGCATCAGCTAACTATCCTCATTAGTCGGTCATTACAAGCATGGGTTATCGCTGGTTCATCCTGCATGGCTTGTAGGAGACGGATACTGTCGTAAACTGACGAGCAAAAGAAAGTACACAGGCGTAATTGTTGTTGCAATCCCAAATATGCGTTCTAACTAATAAAATTATTGAAAAACAGTCCTTGTATAGAACGCAACCATCATGTTTCATTTGCCAAAATGCAACCAAAAACATTTGTACGTGTTTTGCACGATTTTTTTTGCAAAATTGTGATTATTGTCCCATGCACCAGCACTTTTCTGACAGAGAGAATAAAACCTGTTTGTCGTGAAGACTGAACAATCACTTGACAGAAATCTCATGAGGAAATGCCAAGATTGACGTCGGCGCAACGAGAACGGGCCAAAGGAATGACACAAATGGGTGCTTTCAACAGCGATATTGCAAGGACATTGGGTTGCACATGACAAACCATAATTCGGCTGTTTAACCGTTTCAGTACGACAGGCCAGACATGTGATCGACCCAGAAGTGGACGTTCCAGAGTCACAACACCCCAGAGGATCGTTATCTGCGGGTTATTCACCTATGCAACTGGATGTTGACGGTGACGTCATCAGCAGCCACATCATTGGGTCATCGCGTAAGCCGATTCACAGTGACAAGACGACCTCGTCCTGCTGGCATGTATGGGCCTACCGACCGCTGCGTGGAATGGCCTTGACCTTCCAGCATCGTTGGAACCGTCTGCAGTGGTCATCACTACATCGCTGTTTATTGTTACAATGTCATTTTGCTGATAAAACACGTGTATTGCAGTGTGCTTCTACATACCTTTTCCATTTCATCAAAAGGTTTTGTTATTTTTATCTTATTGGAAGAAACACAACCTGTGTACTTTCTTTTGCACATCAGTTTAGTTTAAACAGATAGGTAACCCCTGTCTGGCGACACACGAAACCCTGGAATATAAGTCCCAACAAAGCAGCCCACCCAATTACTACATTCACTGCATGGAACTATCATACTAACCGTGATATACGTACCATACGGACTACAAACTGTTAAATACGTATAATATTAATCACACACAGCGGAACCCGTATCAATCGAATTACACACCGTGAAGTATGTATTAGACGAATGAATAATAATTATTACTAACGCGAAGAACGTATCATAATACGTGAAACACGCATCATATGAATTACTTACCATGGATTACGTGTAATACGAATTACACCCCGATAATCACGTATAATGCGAATAACTAACCGTGGAATACGTACCAGAGGAATTATTAACTACCTAATGAATACGTACCAGAGGAATTGTTAACTAACCGTGGAATATATTCACAACGAATTTCTAACCGTGGCGTAGGTCGCATACTAATTATTAGATAACGAAATGCAAATTACGCATCCTATAAATTACCTGAATGCACATTGCCTATCATACATTGAAGAGTGCGAAAGCATTATGTTCTAAATCGCCACCAAAGATATGTCCATAAGAGACAGTTACAACTCAAATTTATTCTAAAGCTGGGCCTCGGTCAACATAACCGCCTCATCCATAGATCTCATAGGTTGTCACACAAACAACTGTGATACCAACGAACATCTTCATTTCAAAACCCGTGAAGGTCCGAGTTAGAATTGGTCTTCAGCAACCCATGCTTGTCGTAAGAGGCGAATAACGGGATCAGGTGGTCAGGCTCGCTGACTTGGTTGACACATGTCATCGGTTCCCAATTGCGCAGATCGATGCTCATGCTGGTCATCACTGGATTGTCTGGTTCAGACTCGATTATGTACAGACCGCCGCCATATAGCTGGAATATTGCAGAGTGCGGCGTAAAACAAAAACCCAACCAACCAATTTCATTTCAAGTTCAGTGTTCGTAACAGATTAGTTCAGTAACCCAAACACTAGCTGTTTGGCACAAGAGACATCTACCTACTAGAAGACAACACGAGCTGTGTGGCACAAGAGACATCTACTTACTAGAAGAGGGGGATGAGAATGAGAGGTGTCAAGATGAAGAACTGCATGTCATTTGCCAGGTACCAGGCCCACGAGAAACACTGTAAGATTAGAGAGGTCAGTTATCATAAACAAGCAGGTCATTTGCCAGGTACCAGTCCAACGTGAAACACTGTACGATTAGAGCGGTCAGTTACCATAAACAAGCAGGTCATTTGCCAGGTACCAGGCCCACGTGAAACACTGTTAGATTAGAGAGGTCAGTTATCATAAACAAGCAGGTCATTTGCCAGGTACCAGGACCACGTGAAACACTGTAAGATTAGAGAGGTCAGTTATCATAAACAAGCATGTCATTTGCCAGGTACCAGGCCCACGTGAAACACTGTAAGATTAGAGAGGTCAATTATAAACAAGCAGGTCATTTGCCAGGTACCAAGCCCACGTGAAACACTGTAAGGTTAGAGAGGTCAGTTATCATAAACAAGCAGGTCATTTGCCAGGTACCAGGCCATCGTGAGACACTGTAAAATTAGAGAGGTCAGTTATCATAAACAAGCATGTCATTTGCCAGGTACCAGGCCCACGTGAAACATTGTAAGATTAGAGAGGTCAGTTATCATAAACAAGCAGGTCATTTGCCAGGTACCAGGCCCACGTGAAACACTGTAAGATTAGAGAGGTCAGTTATCATAAACAAGCATGTCATTTGCCAGGTACCAGGCCCACGTGAAACATTGTAAGATTAGAGAGGTCAGTTTTCATAAACAAGCAGGTCATTTGCCAGGTACCAGGCCCACGAGAAACACTGTAAGATTAGAGAGGTCAGTTATCATAAACAAGCAGGTCATTTGCCAGGTACCAGGCCAACGTGAAACACTGTAAGATTAGAGAGGTCAGTTATCATAAACAAGCAGGTCATTTGCCAGGTACCAGGCCCACGTGAAACACTGTAAGATTAGAGAGGTCAGTTATCATAAACAAGCAGGTCATTTGCCAGGTACCAGGCCATCGCCCACGAGAAACACTGTAAGATTAGAGAGGTCAGTTATCATAAACAAGCAGGTCATTTGCCAGGTACCAAGCCCACGTGAAACACTGTAAGGTTAGAGAGGTCAGTTATCATAAACAAGCAGGTCATTTGCCAGGTACCAGGCCCACGTGAAACACTGTAAGATTAGAGAGGTCAGATTATCAGTTATCATAAACAAGCAGGTCATTTCATAAACAAGCATGTCATTTGCCAGGTACCAGGCCCACGAGAAACACTGTAAGATTAGAGAGGTCAGTTATCATAAACAAGCAGGTCATTTGCCAGGTACCAGGCCCACGTGAAACACTGTAAGATTAGAGAGGTCAGTTATCATAAACAAGCAGGTCATTTGCCAGGTACCAGGCCCACGTGAAACATTGTAAGATTAGAGAGGTCAGTTATCATAAACAAGCAGGTCATTTGCCAGGTACCAGGCCCACGTGAAACACTGTAAGATTAGAGAGGTCAGTTATCATAAACAAGCAGGTCATTTGCCAGGTACCAGGCCCACGAGAAACACTGTAAGATTAGAGAGGTCAGTTATCATAAACAAGCAGGTCATTTGCCAGGTACCAGGCCAACGTGAAACACTGTAAGATTAGAGAGGTCAGTTATCATAAACAAGCAGGTCATTTGCCAGGTACCAGGCCCACGTGAAACACTGTAAGATTAGAGAGGTCAGTTTTCATAAACAAGCATGTCATTTGCCAGGTACCAGGCCATCGTGTAACACTGTAAAATTAGAGAGGTCAGTTATCATAAACAAGCATGTCATTTGCCAGGTACCAAGCCCACGTGAAACACTGTAAGGTTAGAGAGGTCAGTTATCATAAACAAGCATGTCATTTGCCTTTTTCTTGGTCTATGTGAAACACTGTAAGATTAGAGAGGTCATTTATCATAAACAAGCATGCCATTTGCCTTTTACTAGGTCTATGTAAAACACTGTGAGATTAGAGAGGTCAGTTACCATAAACAAGCATGTCATTAGCCTTTTACTAGGTCTATGTAAAACACTGTGAGATTAGAGAGGTCAGTTACCATAAACAACCATGTCATTTGCCTTTTTCTTGGTCTATGTCAAACACTGTGAGATTAGAGTGGTCCGTTACCATAAACAAGCATGTCATTTGCCTTTTACTAGGTCTATGTGAAACACTGTGAGATTAGAGAGGTCAGTTACCATCAACAAGCACGTCATTTGCCTTTTACTAGGTCTATGTGAAACACTGTGAGATTAGAGAGGTCAGTATTTACAACTATTTCATTTGCCCGATACCAGTTCATAATACGTGGTGCTTATTTGACCCCCTCCCCGCAGGTCCCCTCCTCGCAGGTGCGCTCGAGGATAGGTGACCATTCCATGACTTCGGGTAAAACTGACAGTCTATCTAACCACGAAGACTCTGTGTAATCCGACCCTGCTAGCGTTTTGGACTGGACAAAGTTTCATAGATAAATGCACCCGAATAATACAACACTTTGTTTGTGTTTCAGCCTGTAGACTAAGTACACAGTTAACCCTCGTGATACAACAGCATGAAAACTGTATCTCCACTATAGATCGATCACTGCCAAGCGTCAATAGTCCACTGAAGGATGCATATAAATACGTGAACTGGTCTATATGTAATATACGACAGCTAAGAATAGAATAAAATAGACCTGTGAAGGTCCGGTTAGAATATTGATCTCTAGTAACCAGTGCTTGTCGTAAGAGGCGACTAACGGGATCGGGTGGTCAGGCTCCCTGACTTGGTTGACACATGTCATCGGTTCCCAATTGCGTAGATCGATGCCCATGCTGTTGATCACTGGATTGTCTGGTCCAGATTTGATTATTAACAGACCGCAGCCATATAGCTGGAATATTGCTGAGTGTGGCGTAAAACTACGCTCACTCACTCACTCACTAAGAAGAAAATAAACAAACAATACGAATTCCTCACGGGAAAAGTCATGCTCCTCAGTTTTCCGCGGAGCATGTTGCGTTTATGAGGCCTGTTCCAACAGTCTTGCCTCAGCCTAACGTGCGTGTTTCATGAAGGATGTTCTTGCTTTCAAGAACTTGCTAACGGAACAACATATCGGATTACACAGTGTTCTTTATGATTATATAGATGGCTGTGGCGGGACTGATGCTGTGGTAACTACCATGTCGTTCCTGTTGACGAGGTTGTTGATGTAAAGAAGGTTGGTCCACCAGTTGTCTCTACACTGCTGCTTCTGCAGACCCGTCTGGGGCCAAACAGGTCCATCTCCCAGATAGTGCAACAGGCATGTGTAAAACATCAGCATCATCATGTACACTGGAGTCAGCCTGTACAACAATGATAATGATAATACTCACAGTATATTCATAATCGAAAGGGGGCGGTGGGGTAGCCTAATGGTTAAAGCGTCGGCTCGTAACGCTGACGACCCGGGTTCGAATCCCCACCTGGGCACAATGGTTGAAGCTTATTTATGGTGTCCCCCGCCATGATATTGCTGGAATATTGCTAAAAGCGGCGTAAAACCTCGGGTTTGTACGGGTTGCTGGGTGGACAGTGAACAATTTCGAATAAGGGTCACTTGCCAAGAGGGACATGCAGCACATATATGAGGTTAGTCTGACATTCTGTTAGATGTCAAACCTGATCCGAGATCTTTTATTGAATTCGCTTATGAATCATTCCTTCAATTACCTTTTCATTTCAACTATATGCCAGCGAAAAACCCGTCTCAATTATTCAACAAAAAGAACCAGCTGGTGTTAAAGGCAAAATAGTACTGAAAATTATGGATCACTGAAAACTAGGTTTCCGCGGAAAAGGTAAACATGTCATGTACTTATTTGTTTTAGTGGACATGCCTTCAGATGAGTGAGTGAGTGGGTTTAGTTTTACGCCGCTTTTAGCAATAATCCAGCAATATCACGGCGGGGACACTAGAAATGGACTTTTACTCATGTGGGGAATCGAACCCGGGTCTTCGGCGTGAAGAGCGAACGCTTTAATCACTTGGCCACCCCACCGCCCCGCCTTCATATGAAAATGATGCACCGAAGGAGTAAATTCATATTTGAAACTATTTTTATTTCGGAATCATCACGAGGATATTCTGTACAACAACTTTTGGGGTTACACCTACCTCCAGAATCTGTGGAAGTAGAACATGGCCCAGTTCAGCTTTCCTCGTCCTTTCTTCAGCTCCTTCATGGCGAGATAGGCGACCAGCAGCCCACTAGTGAAGAACACAAACAATCAGTTTTCGTACAGATCTTCTTATAATACTGTTGAAAAGTTTCTTTTTCACTATTGTTTAATGCTACTCGGCACTATTTTAAATATGACTGCGACCTGACAAAAGTTACAAAACCCGGTGTCCTAAACATATGGAACAGCGATGACTAAATGTTGTTCATAAATCTGATTTAATGATTCCATGGGTTGTACTTTTACATTAATGTGAGAGAGTGAGTATTTTTTTACGCCGCTTTTATCAATATCACGGCGGTGGACACCAGGAACGGGCTTCAGACATTGAATCCATGTGGGAATCAAGCCCGGGTCTTCGGCGTGACGAGCGAACGCTTTAACCACTAGACTACCCCGTCGCCCCTTACCTTAATGTGAAGAATGTATCCACGGATACAAGAGCATTGAGGATTCCGTGGAAGGTCCACCTGCTGACGCTTTCTTGGATGAAGGGGGCAAGATTAGCTGAAAGATGGAGGCATATTTTCTTGTTTTATAAATGTGAGTGAGTGAGTTGGGTTTTACGCCGCTTTTAGCAATATTGCAGCAATATCGCGGAAGGGACACCAGAAATGGGATTAACACATTGTACCTGATTTACAAAAGCGAGTTTAGAGAAAGAAATATGATCTATGTAACAGAGATTTAGTTGAATATATCAGGATGCCAGCTGATATATTAAGTACCAAAAAATACCAACTAAAAAACAACAAAACATCACCAACATCGAGGCCACCTGAAATCAGAATCACCAGACGCCCGACAAAAGTCTGACCTGGCCAACTGGCAATGACAAACTTTATAACTGGTAACTAGAATATTGTTAAGACATAAACATGGCTATATTTGGCAGAAAACTGAAATATGTACACAGCCTGGTTTCCTTGTTACGAACGTCACTGTTCCGTTAAGAAAGCGGGGACCAGTAACACATTATTTACACAACCCAGGTAGGATAGCTGTTTTGGATAAAAACATGTTAAATAACTGTCATTTATCGCATACTAGAATACGTTCTAACCCGATTATTTACCCGAGAAGATTCGAATTAGAATGGTTTTTCAGCAACCCATGCTTGTCGTAAGAGGTGACTGACGGAACCGGGCGGTCCGGCTCGCTGACTTGGATGACACATGTCATCGTATCCCAATATGCGGATACCGATGCTCATGCTGATGATCACTGGATTGTCTGCTCCAGAATCCATTATCTGCAGACCTCCGCCATAAAGCTGGAATATTGCTGAGTGCGGCGTTAAACAACAAACCAGCCACCCAACCGATTAACTTGTGTATTTTCGGAAAGGTTCGTATTACTTTCATTGTCTTAAAAACAATCTTAAGACAAATGTGATCAGCGGAAATAAGCTATTCAATACGATGTATGTGGTCACTTATTAATGAAACTTAAATGTATTAAGGAGACTTTCCAACTATAGAGCACTTACATGCCATGGAAAGAACACTAGAGAAGGCATGTCCTAGTACAACCCAGGTCATACTGAGGAAGCGGATCCCGTGTACGGCTGTCAGGCTCCCTGGTGCTTGCTTCGTATCCAGAAGCTTGGCCCCATTTGTGTAGGCAGAGAATGATAACAACAGTTTGATACCGAATCCATGGACACGTTCTGCAGAAAGAGAATTTGGACAATGTAGTAAACAGCTGGTGGTGGTTCTGTGGACAGGGGATGCTTACAACAACTTACACCCCTCACGGGAGATGGTTCTGTAGAATATGCTAACAACCTCTTAAAGCAAAGACCGGGAGATGATTCTGTGAACAGAGAATACTGACAGCAGCGTACATCCCTCACGGGAGATGATTCTGTGAACAGAGAATACTGACAGCAGCGTACACCCCTCACGGGAGATGATTCTGTGAACAGAGAATACTGACAGCAGCGTACACCCCTCACGGGAGATGATTCTGTGAACAGAGAATACTGACAGCAGCGTACACCCCTCACGGGGAGATGATTCTGTGAACAGAGAATACTGACAGCAGCGTACACCTCACGGGAGATGATTCTGTGAACAGAGAATACTGACAGCAGCGTACACCCCTCACGGGAGATGATTCTGTGAACAGAGAATACTGACAGCAGCGTACACCCCTCACGGGAGATGGTTCTGTGAACAGAGAATGCTGACAGCAGCGTACACCCCTCACGGGAGATGGTTCTGTGAACAGAGAATACTGACAGCAGCGTACACCCTCACGGGAGATGATTCTGTGAACAGAGAATACTGACAGCAGCGTACACACCTCACGGGAGATGATTCTGTGAACAGAGAATACTGACAGCAGCGTACACCCCTCACGGGAGATGATTCTGTGAACAAAGAATACTGACAGCAGCGTACACCCCTCACTGGAGATGGTTATGTGAACAGAGAATACTGACAGCAGCGTACACCCCTCACGGGAGATGGTTCTGAGAACAGAGAATACTGACAGCAGCGTACACCCCTCACGGGAGATGGTTCTGTGAACAGAGAATGCTGACAGCAGCGTACACCCCTCACGGGAGATGGTTCTGTGAACAGAGAATACTGACAGCAGCGTACACCCCTCACGGGAGATGGTTCTGTGAACAGAGAATACTGACAGCAGCGTACACCCTCACCGGGAGATGATTCTGTGAACAGAGAATACTGACAGCAGCGTACACCCCTCACGGGAGATGGTTCTGTGAACAGAGAATACTGACAGCAGCGTACACCCCTCACGGGAGATGATTCTGTGAACAGAGAATACTGACAGCAGCGTACACCCCTCACGGGAGATGATTCTGTGAACAGAGAATACTGACAGCAGCGTACACCCCTCACGGGAGATGGTTCTAAGAGAATGTGTCATCCAGAAATCCGGTAAATCGTCACAAGGCCCCACTTCATCACTACACTGATCTGAACAAGAAATATTCATCGGCGGCGCGACGGACACGCTGACTGTTCGTAATCGTAATCTGTTCGTAGTCTGTCTTTTATTAAAGCCAAATGGAGAACATATTTTATTCATTATTTTATAATCATCATTCTACAGAATCGATTTGACAGCCTGTGTCTTCAGTACAAGTTGATCACATCAATCGCTTTGCGTGCTATCGTTATCTACCTGTGTGACACTCTTTTCAAAGTCCATATCAATCTATGTCAACAATTGTTATGTTTACAATATCATAGGCCATGTGTTCTTAAATATCAACAGTATGTCACTTGACATTAATAACTCTGATCATGTTCCATATTTCACTGTGCTTTGTGTTTGGTACTTCAAGCGTTTCATGTCCATGGGTGAACACATGTCGGATCAAAACTGTGAGAAAAATAATACCATATCTCTGTACCAATTTAACACTAATTAACTACCCGCTCCCCTTGTAATCTTATCACTGTTGGTGTTTCATATAGCTATATAGCCATACGTATATAGCTATTTGTTTCCTAGTTTTGCCTTCGTCTGATGAAGGATTAAGAATATACCCGGGTTCGAAACATGGTGTTCCTCCCGCCGTGATATTGCTGGAAAATAGTCTCTAAACTCCTGCTGTTGTGATTATTGCCAATAGAGTCACGAAATACTCCTTCAAGGAGTGTCAAACGCGCAAGCATGATATGCGATACACTGAGTAACAATGTGCTAATGAGTGAGTATGATTTTACGCCGTTTTTAGCAATTTTCCAGCAATATCAGGGCGGGGACACCGGAAATGGGCTTCACACATTGTACCCATGTAGGGAATCGAACCGAGGTCCTCGACGTGACGAGCGAACGCTTCAACCACTAGGCTACCCCACCGCCTCTGTTGATAAAGATATACAAGGAACAATTAAATACGAAACACAAGCTATGTAAAGCTGACCCGGTGGTTTATATGACTGCGTATCATCGGACCACGATGGTGTTGAACGGTGCTCATAATATTAATCACTGGTTTATCTGGTTCACATTCTCTTACGTATCAATATTGTCGAGTTAAGCGATACATGTACACAAGAAGATATTGAAGATTTCTCATATTAGCAACAAGCCAACAAATGTCACAAAGCTCCAAAATATTACCTGATGTTTGCTCTTGTGGTTTACTGGCGGTGTTTTGGTCGGGCCGACGGTCCTGTCCAATTTCTTGTACCGCCTCAGCATTTTCAATGCTCACAGAGGTTGATTCCGACAGCAATGGCACTTTCTCAGAGTCAACTGTATGTCTGCCATTAACAGGTGTCGCCGCCCTAGTGGATTTATCACTTGACTTAACAAATTTACCTTTGCGCATTTGAATGAATATGACGTCATATCCGGTTCCAAGTATGACCAGCAAGCCAAATATTGAACAGATGACACTGAAATGAACCAAATTCAACATACAGTTAATGACGAATCATATTCATAATTGTTTTGCTATTCTTTAGACTTATTCTATTTCCCTGGGTAAGTATGCAGAGTATAGATATTGTTCCTTACACAACATGGTGTGAATATTGTTTATCATACATTGATGGGAATATTGTTCATATAATGCGTGGTGTGAACATTGTTTATCATACATTGATGGGAATATTGTTCATATAATGCGTGGTGTGAATATTGTTTATCATACATTGATGGGAATATTGTTCATATAATGCGTGGTGTGAATATTGTTTATCATACATTGATGGGAATATTGTTCATATAATGCGTGGTGTGAATATTGTTTATCATACATTGATGGGAATATTGTTCATATAATGCGTGGTGTGAACATTGTTTATCATAAATTGATTGGAATATTGTTCATATATAATGCGTGGTGTGAATATTGTTTATCATACATTGATGGGAATATTGTTCATATAAAGCGTGGTGTGAATATTATTTATCATACATTGATGGGAATATTGTTCATATAATGCGTGGTGTGAATATTGTTTATCATACATTGATGGGAATATTGTTCATATAATGCGTGGTGTGTGTTTATCATATTGATGCGTGTGTGAATATTGTTTATCATACATTGATGGGAATATTGTTCATATAATGCGTGGTGTGAACATTGTTTATCATACATTGATGGGAATATTGTTTATATAATGCATGGTGTGAATATTGTTTATCATCTATTGAAGCGAATATTGTTCATAGAATGCATGGTGTGAACATTGTTTATCATACATTGATGGGGATAGTGTTCCTTACACAACATGGTGTGAATATTGTTTATCATATATTGATGCGAATATTGTTCATAGAATGCATGGTGTGAACATTGTTTATCATCTATTGAAGCGAATATTGTTCATATAATGCGTGGTGTGAATATTGTTTATCATACATTGATGTGAATATTGTTCATATAATGCGTGGTGTGAATATTGTTTATCATACATTGATGGGAATATTGTTCATATAATGCGTGGTGTGAACATTGTTTATCATACATTGATGGGAATATTGTTCATATAATGCGTGGTGTGAATATTGTTTATCATACATTGATTGGAATATTGTTCATAGAATGCATGGTGTGAATATTGTTTATCATACATTGATACGTGGTGATACATGGTGTGTATTATCCATATGATATATAGTGGGGATAGTATCAATAAAATGGCTGATGTGAACATTGTTTATCATACATTAATGGGAATATTGTTCATATAATGCGTGGTGTGAATATTGTTTATCATAAATTGATGGGAATATTGTTCATGTAATGCGTGGTGTGAACATTGTTCATCATACATTGATGCGAATATTGTTCATATAATGCGTGGTGTGAATATTGTTTATCATACATTGATGTGAATATTGTTCATATAATGCGTGGTGTGAATATTGTTTATCATACATTGATGGGAATATTGTTCATATAATGCGTGGTGTGAACATTGTTTATCATACATTGATGGGAATATTGTTCATATAATGCGTGGTGTGAACATTGTTTATCATACATTGATTGGAATATTGTTCATAGAATGCATGGTGTGAATATTGTTTATCATACATTGATACATGGTGATACATGGTGTGTATTATCCATATGATATATAGTGGGGATAGTATCAATAAAATAAGATGTGAACATTGCTCATATAATGCGTGGTGTAAATAAAAATCACATAATGCATTGTGAATATTGTTGCTTATGATTCATGGTGTAAATATTGTTTCAAAAATGCATGTTGTGAATATTGCTCATATAATGCATGGTGTGAATACTGTTCCTATAATGCAGTGTGAATATTGTCGCTTTTAATACATTGTGTGCAAAAGCTTACAAAAATTATTAAGAAACCGCCGGACAAACTAAACTTCTTAATACTTTGAATCGACAAACGTAAAGAATATATCTGTGACTTCCATTTTCAAATTGAAGCTTTTTGAATTTAGTTATTATAATACGAAATAATTTGTCACACTTCACGAAGAAACCCGAAGTATACATAGTCGCGTTTCTTGTTTATTTGATGCATCAAATCACATAGTCCTACTGTCGGATTCTCAATGCAGGTAGCGTGGCTTTGGTTGTATTAATTCCGTACTGACAGAGTAAAGAAACTACGATAATCGTGTTCGTCAGCATGTGACAAGTCCTGTAAAGGCGTCAGTTGAACCCCCAGGCAACACAAACCAAATATTCTTCAGATAGTAAGGTAAGGTTTTTATCTTGCTCCATTCGGAACTGCACGTATATGTTTGTTTTGAAATACAGAAATCAGCCCTAAATAGGTCAAAATGCTTGTTCCGAATATGCAGAATACTCGACGCTAACCGGTTTTGTAAAACGTTCACCCGACACGACCTAATAGGTAGAAATTGTCAGATCCTCAGGCAGAGGTAACTTCTCCGAGTACATGATGCAAAATGTTGATGACATTGAACGAAGCCTCTGGACTTACATGGCGACTATGGCATCGGTGTCAAGGGGGAAGTCCTTCTCATAACAGGTGACACTCGCCAGCAGGGATATGTTCTGAGACATCAGCACTGACAGTGAAAAGAGGGTCTGATCAATAAGGGATCGAAGTAGTGATAATCTTGGGGCCATTCAGTTATTATATATTATCTTATAATATCCCTGGATTTGTATGTTTGTTGTTCAAAGCCACACGTAGCAATATTCCAGCTATAAATAATCGAGTCTGGACTAGGCAATCCAGTGATCTACAGCATGAGCATCGATCTACAAAATTGGGATACCATGACATGTTTCAGCCAAGTCAGCGGACCTGACCACCCGATCCTGTTAGTCTCGTCTGATGGCAAACATGGGTTGCTGAAGATCAAGTCTAACCCGGATGTTCACGGGTTTAATGCCCCTTGAAGCAATGGAAGAACGATATTGCAACCCATTTTAGTAATCGCTGGAGTGTGCTTAATCAGGGATGAGGGAGCCTAGGCTCCTCACACCGAACAATAGTTCCCATCAGAAATACGGGATGTGAGAAGTTCTGGTGTCCCAGACACGATATTGTTGGAATATTGCTTAATGCTGCGTAAAATCTACTCTTACCTCACTGGCTCACTGTAACGCTGGATCTGGCTGCATAAAGTTCGTGTGGCAATACGAGCGATTCAAATAAAATGGTTAATGTCACGATTTGGTTGAAATGTTACGGAAGAGACGTTAAATTGGATTAAGACATAGAGGTACACAATGAAATTTTCTGCAATCTTTGTATAAACTTTAGTGTGACGAATTGCTCTTTCAATGCGAACTTGAGAAACTAATTCTAATGTGGACTGGCCACAGTGCTGGATGAGTCGACTCATGTGGCGAAGGTGAACTAAGGGGATGCAGCAATGAAGAAATCTAAAGTATAGAAGCAGTTCCGACTGAAGCGCCGCCAAGACAGTTTTGAGGAATGTCTTATGTGCCTGGGAACATTTTGTACGAATAAGTGATAGCTTACGGTCGGTGGCGATGGCGGAGACGTCCTGTCCAGTACAGGAGTCTGGCATGCATAATCCGAGAGTGATGGCGAGCTGAGTTGGATCTGCAGGATTAGTCTGCAATGAAAAAAAAGTCGGGAAAGTTACTGTGTGTCGTAAATTAACCACAAGAAAATCCACACGTTTTTTAAAAAAAAACAATAAATGATTATATTAGATGATAAAGAAGCGACCATTTGGTTTTCAAGGCGAATGCGGTGTTGTTGTTTGTAATCAGCAAGTTTTAGTACCCCTACTAATGTTTTTCATTGCAACAGAAATGGGTGCTCAATAATTAAAAATAGTATTAGACATTTCCATATAGTATTCTGTCCAGGGCCGTGGTGACATATTTCTTTGTTTTCTTTACAAGCATCCTCATAATTTGCTGTGTGACCAATTGACACCGCGACCCTGACTCTCTTCCCTCGACTCCTGAAGATCGGCCATGTTTCCAAAGTGTCTGTGAGAGGGGGTTCAGGCCAGGCTTCAGCAGTTAACTTGACACCGGTGTAGAAACATAGTCACTGAAAACGATGGACCGGACGATCAGCAGAAGTCCCTTGTAGGGGTCCCATATATTCCGAGCGCAGAGTAAATGACATGACTCTAAACGGTCTTACAGCTCCTTTGTCGTACTGACTTACATGGTCCGTCAATCATCAGTCAATAATTAAATGCTCTCAGAGACATGCAGCGAGTAGATATTCACTACTGTTCACTTATGGACAAGCTTCTATCTGTTCTGAGGACATGCATTGAAGAGGTTTCGTAATATGTTAGTGGTATGCACATTTCTTCAGAGACAGGGATGAGCTCACGAAACCTCTCTGCTTCATTCTAAAGTGAAGCGAAGATTGTCTTTTATGTGGCCTCATCTTTGATGAACATCTTCCTGTGGACAATTTCTAACCAGATAAACATCCGGCCGCCACTACAACAGGAGTCGACTTCCTGCGTCTTTACCTCCAGCTGAGAGTGATGCTTTGTCCTTGACTGGAATCTGATCCAGGGATAGACCAGGAATGGTCGGTGTCGGCACCGAGATAAAAGGATGTGATAGGCACTCTACAGAGGCAACACTGTATTGTGATGATCAGGTCCAGCTGTTGTCACTGCCCAGGCCGGGCTGTATCCAGACCACGATTCACACATGAAGTCGTCAATCAGAATCAACTGTTCTTGGTGGTCCCCTAGATTGCTGCATTGAACTTGACATAGAACTAGAACTCGTTTTTCACCTTCTGGGAAGAGCAGACAGCTGGAACATACACAGTGATGAGGCTGACACGCTCTTCGAGTGTGAGGAGTTGGAGCAATACAACTCTTTACAATCCTTTCTTGCCAGGTTCTGTCATTTTGAGCAATGAGTTCTTGAAGACGATGCCAGGCATGTGAATTTATTCTTTAGTAAAACAGCTGTTTGGATATTTCATTTAAAGCAGAACATATGTTCTGTCAGAGTTCAAGGGCATGGAGTGTGGGAAACACACATTAAGTTATTGACTGTGACATCTGTCCCTAAGTGCTTTGAAAATCAAATGGATGCTCAGTAAGTGGTTAAATCCTTAGCTCGTGACGCGGCAAGCATAGAGTTCGATATGGTGCCATCTGCCTGTCATATGAGAGGAAAATTGCGGCATAAACATGCACTAACTCATTTCTACATGATTTCCGTTATAAATTTGCACCAAAATAACTGATGGTTTTCTCAGACCGAAACTAACGCTATTCTTCATTTCGACAAAACTGTTTCTGCTGTGCATTGGGACCACTAACCTCAAAGTCATTATCTGGAATTAATGTCTTACTGAACTTGGTTTACGCGTCATTTTCAAAAGATGATGAAATATCTAACAACAAAACCTGGTTTTCTTTGGATGTCTATCAAGTATTAAACAGTTTGATCGCCTACCTGATTGGGGGGCAGCAAGAGAGCTCTGCAATACGTGGCACCGAAATCCACCTCAGTCCTATTGGTGATGACTCCCATACATTCATCAAATGATCCCAGCCACTTGAGCTCTCCCTTGAGAATGCCACTGCCGGGCTTACCGAACGCATCCAGCACTAAATATGCCAGTGGTCAAAGTGTTAATTTACAGACAGGGTTAAGTCTATTATCGTGAACATGGCCTGTACGAATACTGAAAACATTTAGCTGGAAGCAGATGTATACCAGCCAGTGTTATAGTATGTAGCTGTCTCAACCAGTTAACTTCAGTCCCTCACAATCCGTCTCAGATTGTTAGCCTTGTTGTTTAAGGCCGCACTCAGCAATATACCAGTTATGTGGCCGCGGTCTCCAAAAAATCGAGCCTGGACCAGGCAATCCAGTGATCAAAAGCATGGGCATCGTCCCTTTAAGTGGCAAATAAAAGCTGATGCCCAGGTATGCTGAAGAGGAACACGTTTTATGGATTGACAACTTCTTTACATGCTTGATTGGTATTTTAGAAGATGATATTTGATGAACATAGAGATTTTTTCTGGGTTACATCTTCTTTTTATTCTCGAGTACAACGTTTCAGGGCTTGTTCTGGCCCCATCATCAGGTAAAACTGAACAACTCGAGAATAAAAAGAAGATGTAACCCAGAAAAAATCTCTATGTTTTACTGTTCAGTTTTACCTGATGATGGGGCCAGAACAAGCCCTGAAACGTTGTACTCGAGAATAAACCGAAGATGTAACCAAGAAAAAATCTCTATGTTCAACTTCTTTACAGCAATAGATGTGATGTTTCGGTGTAGATCTAACTCTTTAACAAGCCAATGATAACGGTGTTGGGATCTACACCGAACGAAATGTCGCATCAATTGCAATAAAGAAGGTGTCAATCCATAAAAAGTGTTCCTCTTCAGCATACCTGGGCATCGATCTACGAAATTAGGATACGATGACATGTGTCAACCAAGTCTACGAGTCTGACCACCCGATCATGATAGTCGCCTCTTACGACAAGCATGGGTTACTGAAGATCAGTTCTAAGCAGGATCGACACGGGCATTTCTGCCTCAGACTCACCGTTATAATAATTAATTAGGCAGGTAATATGTGTGACAGTGTAGATGTAGTCATGACATGGTTGTAGGTCATCATGACCTCGCTGTTGTGTCATGACCTCTGTTCGCGTTATCGAGATCTACTGTCGACTCACCATACTTAACATATCGTACCTCCAACTTAGTTTGTGAGGCACGGTGAAATCCGAGGCAGTGTGGATCGACCTTTGTGAGCAGGGTGCAGGTTGCTTTCCTTTCAATGCGTTTTTTTAAATGACACCGTGGGAGCAACACCATTGGTCACGATCCGTTCAACTAAGCTGTCATCAACGACGAAATATGGTCCTGCCACAAATGGCTCTGGTAACGATTCTTAAGGCACGTTATTTTTTACAATGAAACGCACATATTCCGTCGCAACAACTTGCATGTAGTCACAATTGTCACATCTATATGGAATATACTTACTCTGTAGAGCCCACTCTTTGTTTTCCATAACACCAGTGATCACGTTCTGGGTATGGTTGTTACAGACATCTCGTGTGTCCTGAAGACTCCCCAGCATCTGATGGAGATTACCTTCCCCCTGAGTGTTGTCGTCCACGGGAGCATTCTCAGCCTCTTCATCAAACTCCCCTCTTTGAATGGTATTGCTTTTCATGTCCACATTTTCTCCGATGCTAAACAATTTCTTCGACACAGTATCTATGACTAGGTTTTTAACAAATTGAGACTCAAAATTCCCGTTTAATAGCCTGTGGTTCCGTTCTATGTCAAGATACGCATCCTCTTGACCCAATAACGTACTTACACAGCAAACAAAGGTGACTAACAGCAGCATTTTGAACATTGTGGTTGAAACAACAACCTGATTATAGTGTGTGTCCCTTTTTGGACTTGGCACACGCTCACAGTTAGCAAACAATATCTGAGTCACTTGGTTCTCGATGTGTAGACACAGCCAAATGAAACACTCACTCTAAGCGGGACAACTTTTGTGTCTATGCGATAATGACATATGTGTATGAATCAGTGCTATACCCGTGCTATATGATAACTATCTCTCCATGTAGGACATACGTACTGATAAACTGTCCACAATCCAGCTGACAACCAGTTGTGCAAGAGCAGTGACACATCCCTTCTTCGTGTGACTGTTATCTGAATGGGGCTACGTCAACATAGGAAGGCGTGTTTTATCAGCTTGAGGAGGGTTGAATGTTGTAGTGGATTCGAACGTTGGAGGACAGTGGGTGATTTGCCCCCTCCCAAATCACTACTCAGCCATGGGCACGGCAGGGTGGTCCAGAGGTTGACGGATTCGTTGTCCGTTGACCGGGTTCATATAACACTCGTTCTACTGATACGTAAAGGAATATATTAATATGGTTTTAACGAAAACGTTTTGGTTGTGCCACCTGAAATGGTTTCACAAACTGAAACCGATCGAGCCAGGCCAACTTTGAATGACGATGACCGTGCCTTAAAGAACCACTAAACTTTGTTTTTTTGTTACTCTTTTAACCATTACATATGAAAGATTTGTGGTTAGTCTTATGCGGAACACCAAATTTATTCTTTAAAAAACTTGTGGTTAATTAATACCGAGCGATTAAAAGTTGCCAAAAAGTCGCCTGCTTCCCTCTCGCCCGCCAACGAAACCACAGACAGGTTACGTAACTCTGTCGCCAGAGCACTGCAGTGACGTCATATGAGGAACGATTTTCAGTTAGTTGTATAGAAAATGTGTAGCACGCTCATCATTTTGATGATTTCTCGTCATCAACGACGACATGCTGAATCGTTGCTTTGTCGTCAATTGCTCCTAGGGGTCGGGTGATGGTGTCCCCATGCACAGATTTCCACAGGACCCCGCAGTTCGTGCTAAATGGGTTATGTTTGTGAGTGCGAAGCGAGAGTTGTGGAAGCCTGAAACGATATCTTACTTGTGTTCAGATCGCTTCACGGAAGTTAAAGAATCAAAACTACTTACTAGTTGTAGTAAAATATGCATATGATTGATGACCATAAAGATTTTCTGTGACACAACTTGTAACATAACGATTTCTTCTTAGGAAGTGAGGTTGTGGTCGAAGTAACAATAATATTGTAAGTAGTATTATATTGACACCCACCTCGCTGCCACGAGAGAAATTGTTATGTTTTACGCTTTGTCATGCAAAATCCTATTGGCCATCAATAAAATACATATTTTACTACCAGTAGAAAGTAGTTTTGATTTTGTAACTCGGTGGAAACAAACCTAAATACCATTTATCCTCAGACTGGCGGATGTTCCCGACAGAAGTCGCCGCCATTTTAAAAATAAAAAATCTGTTAGAATTAAGGAGATTATAGTTTGTTTTCATCAAGTTAGAAAATCAAGACTACTTTCTACTCGTAGTTAAATATGTATTGGAATCATAACCAAACGGAATTTGCATGACAGAACTTATAACATAACGATTTCTTCCACGGAAGCGAGGTGGGGGTCGAAGTCACAATACTACGCGATAAATTTCTTGCTACATTCCCATGGTTAATGTCCACTCACCAGTATGTAGATACTAGTCAATGTGCGTCTTTATATTTGGTCTTATAATCCTAATTAGTTTATTATCATACTTGTATGCATTTTGAAACTAAATAAAAAGCAGACGATCTGCTGATACTTATAGTGAATTTATAACAGAACTGTAATATCTAGACATTTTATAGTTTGCCAATGTGAATCATAATTCGCACACACACCCTGTCTCATTACACTTCACGGCGAAAACAATGATTCTGTTGAATGCTACGACAAATGAATAAAAACAAAATGCAAATATTAAAATTAAAACAGATTAAAGTTATAGGAACAATATCAGGCCATTACCTTGTTCGAGGAATGTATCCATCAATATCCACAAAACTGTTCCAAATGATGTGTCTTTTAACAGTTTAATATACGAAAAAGTGATAAATCTTTTCAGGTATTGATGTATAGTCTCATTGGTCACCCAAGATAGCACACCTGGCAACTAATTGCATAATGTCCGCCTTTCTTTAAAAACAGTAATTTAGTTAGCCAATAATGGGCAATCAATCAATGTATTGCCGGTTAATCCTTTGAAAGAAGGACGTTGTTTTTACGCAGACACCGACACGACAGAGTGTATTCAGTATAGATTAGTAAATCTACATACATAAACACTACCTTCTGACAATTCCGCTGTGTAAGATAAAAGTAATTAATCAATCAGCGTGTTATCGGTTAATCCTTTGATCGATGTTTATAATGTTGAATATTTACTCCAGACACAAGAAATGCCAAATGGGAACCTTTGTCGGGTAATTTAAGTGTGTTACCACTAATTATACCTGTTATAAATTCATTAACTGACCATCAAGTGAATGATGACAAATAACATGTGTAGGTTTATACCACCTAACAAGGGTTACAACAAGGGAGTATTAATTGCTGTATTGCATGTGAAAACTTATGGGCCGACACTGTTTTGAGAATACAAACAGATTTTTACATGACATGATTAAATATCGAGGTAAAAAAACACAGAAATGGGATCAATTTGGATCAGTCATTATACAAATAGGGCCTAAAGACACCAATCGATTTTGACAGAATCGTCTATGAAAACAAGTTGTAACTCGGAAACTAGGCAAAGCATGAGACAAAATTAAATGCCAGTAGATTGTGAGAACATAAAGCTTTCATTTTCCACAACAATTGTCACGATTTCAGGTTTATACAAGCCTGTAAACAAGATAATTTAACCCCCTAAAATGTAGATGAATTCTGCACAGGCCCTCCTAGCTATTCCTCATATGACGTCACAGAGTCGCGCCGCTCTGATTGGTTGAAATTTCGTTCGCGGGTGAGAATTGTGCACTGTTGTCAAAAAGGTCGATTTAAGTCAATTAAAGGTCGAAATGAGTAGTTTTAATGACGGGGTTTCATTTATAATGATGCGAGTTAGTGATTTATGTATTTTTACCCCCTAGGGTTTATGTGACCTTTAAATACACGGCCTCCCTCAACCGACGCCGATATGCACTTAGCGTACTCGGCTAGATATATATAGCAATGACGAAGGGTGGCTTGCCTGTTATCTCGGAAGATATAATCTGTTTCGTGTGTAGGCGACTGAGCAAATGTTTTGGGTCAAAAAACACTCTGCGATATCATACAGGAAGGCGGCCATGAAGTAACACTGCCGAAAACGTTTCCCAATGCAAAGACTACTTACTACTTTTCGATTTCCGTATTGAATTGAAATAAATTATGCAATTATCGTTTCCAAACTCCAGAAGTCAGCTAGCGTGTTTGAACCTTGACGACGTGTCGTGTCTGTGGCGTCCATACCTCATGTATTGTTATTATCAAGTTACTCCTCTACCAAAACTAAACATGGTGTTTCTCATGGAGGTATTCACCATTCGAACGACTTCTCAAGTTGGACACGCAATCTTGTGTAAATATTACGTCGAACTCAACTGCGAATGGGTCATGATCAGGGCTGTTTCTTATTTATCTTTGTACCGGTCGCTTTCCACATAATATATGGGAGAAAAAACAAAACAACAATTATACTTGTATGTTGCCATCTGAACCTTTTGAACTGCCATAAATAGTAAACCTTAAAATATCTGCTCAGTTGCTCTACTTTTTTGAGCGTGGTTAGGTCGTGGCGCTACCCTGTGTAGAGTTGTGTACTTATGTAAAGAGCCGAGAGATATCCAGGCATATCGCTATTCATATCGGGAATAGTTAGGCAGACGAACGGCCAGACGCCATTCCAGCTATAGCAGCCGAACTGGTCGATCAGATACATATTTTGATAAATAAAATGACAGATTTCCACATGAGAGGACACTGTTTACTACGGCATGTAGTCTATCATTCCATCGTGCAACCTCCAAGACGACTTGTCCCGGGATGCTAAGAATTGGTCGTGATTAATTGTTGTTTGATTGTTGTTTAACGCTGCACTCAGCAATAGCCCAACTATCTGACGGCAAACTAAATAATCAAGTCTGGATCAGACAATTCAGCGATCAACAGCATGAAGCATGAGCATAGATCTATGCAAGTGGGATACGACGACATGTGCTAATCAAGTTAGCGAACTTGACCACCCGGTGCCGGCAAGCGTTAAGTAGTTGGAGTATTTGGGGAAGTTGATTGAAAACTAAGAACCCCTTCGAATAATTTTCACATAGACTATTTTTTGCAATAACGTAGGCGCAAGTTTTCGGAGCAAGTCTCCTGTAGAACATTCTATGAACTGAACAATGGCATACAATCACACAGCTATTAGACTACCAGACCACCCTGTTTCCTGTATCAAGAGAATGAGATACTGGAGACGTGTGTTGCTGCAATTGCAACAGCGCTGGTGAATGATGCCTAACATACTCCAACAAATATGATCACTACAATATGGAAATACAGAGAGTGTATGAACAAGGACCAATCAATTACCAGACTGAAGCACAGTGCCACATGATCAGACAAATCAGAGAGCTAAGACTAATATCAACTTTAGTACAGTTGAGGTATTGTCTGGTGGTGAAATGAAAGCCTAATTCACAAATGCAGCAAACACAAAGCATATCTCACTGTATGAATCTTGGGTCCAGATTATTGTGCTATGAGGTCTGAGTCTGAGTCTGAGTTTGGTTTTACGCCGCTTTTAGCAATATTCCAGCAATATCACGGCGGGGGACAACAGAAATGGGCTTAACACATTGTGCCCATGTGGGGAATCGAACCCGGGTCTTCGGCGTGACGAGCCAACGCTTTAACCACTAGGCTACCCCACCGCCCCGTGCTATGAGGTGTGTCCATCTGGGGTTGTATGAACATAAACAAAGTTAACAACACTTCACAACAAAGTATGCAATTTGTTTTCTTGGCCTTAGGGGAGAGGAGGAGAGGACACATGCGTTGGGAATCCTGTGTCGCTAAGGAAGGCTTAGAAGTATTTCCTATAGTGTTCTGCCAAACAGCATGGAAATTAAAAGACTGCCCTGTATTATTTGTGCTTGGTCATTAGAAAGAGGAGTTCATTGGAAAATTACATATACAAGCTTACTAGAAACTTAAATGTCCTGGATTTGCTGGAAGACTGGCGGATACTTAACTCTCTTCAAGCCAACATTATCCCAAGTTCGATGAAACCGGTTTTCAGAGCTGTGGAATGCTGTAAATATTCCTAGTACTAATAAGCTAAGGGTCTACAGACTGCTTAAGAAGGATCTAGTACCTGACCCCTTAACAATGTTTAACTTTAACCATGGAAACAGAAGAAAATATCTGGCGCTTCACGCAGCGGCAGTCTCCTCATTAACACTTAAAAATGAAGTACAGTCGTCCACTCCAATATAGAACTTGCCCCTTTTTTACTCAGTCGAGACTGAGGTCCCCTTTTTAACGGACTGTAACATGAACGTTGACTTACATTATGGTGTTATCATAATAATAATGAGTATATATAAAGCGCTGTATCCATCCACAAGGTGATATGAGCTCTTTGGAGTGAATGTATGCCAGATTTGTTCAAATTATCTGCACGCGAGCAATTTATGGCATTACTCAGATGTGTTCAAACATCTTTGTAAATTAATTGATCATATGATTTAACGTATCATGGTCTATATATACCTGTACCGATGTGATATTCTATTGTCTGTGTAGGTGTTTCAGCACAAAGTGTATATTACATGTGACACTATAATAATATATCACATTCTCTCTCTGATTCTTTCTCAATTTGGCAAACATTGATGCTATATTGAAAATTGGATTAACAGATTAGTCAAGTTTCAGTGTTGATTAAGTGTAAAATGCATGACAGATTTCATTCCAGTAAGTCAAGTGGTTTTGGACTATGAGGTCGTTGGAGAAAAACCCAGGGTAAATGGTGAAAATAACAAACACAAATACATGTCAATTTCAGAAGACAAAAGTCTGTAACATGTTGAATGAGGACAGGAAAAAACAATGGTGACATATTCATGGTCCAGCAATATGATAAATTCTGTATTTCGAATCACAATGTTTGATGAAACGACAGAGAAATACATTTGCATATACATTTCAACCGAGGAAACTTTTCACACAAGCAGCCTGGCCTGTGTAGTTGATGCATAGCATACTGTGATAACACATGTTGAGTATTGTTTTCCTGCAATATCATGTCAGGGGACTGAAGAAAATGCATTTTCTGGGCTGAACCCAGGGTGTGAAGAGCAAATGCATTAGGGTATTTCACCGCCCCAAATATCTTTGAGTAGTGGTAAAACAACATTGTCAAAATTTCCTGTGTTCGATGAAGCTTTGTCCAGTGACTCTGTTCTGTACACATGACTGAGGTTGTCTCTTTCGTCTTGCTGTCTCTATCTCTCGTTTTGTGTGCAGTACCAGTTTGCTGAAATGAGGACGCCATATTGAAGAACTGATGCTTTACATACATATTATATTAGAAATAATATCAATATAGATCCATTTTGATAAGTAAATATGTCGTATTATAGTATGAACAGTAATTATTGAGAATTTTAGGAATATGTTTAATTCGATTTCTAGTATAAACAACCTTGACCAGCTATCAAGTGCTTGGTTTCATTCCAGAGAGACAACTCCGTTAATCCTTTTTCATTAGTTTGTGAAGAGTTATCCCCCTTTGTTTACTTGCTAGCAGACGACATTTTCAGTGATCCTCAGTATGGATGATTTAGAGAAGAGGAAGTTGATTTTAGAGTATTATAACAAGGACATCAGATCAGCTAAAGTGATTTCAAGTAGAACAGGCATCCCTTGTCCACTGTTCATCGTGTTTTGAAAAATATTGCAAATGGATATGGCATTGAGCACCAGGGAGGCGCAGGTAGGCCCAGAAAATTGACTGTCGGTGACAGGAGGCGGCTTGGTATTCTTGTTTCTAAAAAAACGAAGGCGTTTGGAAACCTTAAGGCTGGATATGATTGATAGAGGAACTGTGGCTGTCTGTAAGGAGTCAATTAGAACTGAGCTGCATGAAATGGGTTGGCAGAAAAGTCGAGGAATTCCATCACCGATCATGAAATCTGAACAAAAGGAGTGAAGGTTGAACTGGTGTTACAGCATAGAAATTTTAACTGGGACAATGTGATTTTCTCAGATGAAAGTTCTGTGTGGCTGTTTCCTAATACACTGAAATTCTGGACCAAACAAACTGAAAAACCTTTGTATCAGCCCCAAAGTAGAGTCCGAAATTTAACGTGTGGGGTGGCATATCTGTGTTAGGGGAAACGTCCCTCTGTGTATTTGAAGGGAATATGAACATCGAGCGGTACACAGATATTCTCGAGGGACATTTACTTCCATCTGCTCACGTGTTCTATGGAAATGTTTGGATTTTCCAGCAGGACAATGACCCAAAACATCGTTCAAAGCATTCACAGGCCTGGTTTCGGACCCAAAATATGACATTATTAGATAGGCCAAGCTATAGCCCTGACCTAAATCCAATAGAAAATGTTTGGGGACTTATAAAGGAAAGTGTCAATTAGAAAAATCTGACAAATATTGCTGAAATGAAAGAAGAGGTGGTCCGATATTGGGACAGCATGGACCACGACTTTCTAACTTCTTTGATCAGTAGTATACCCTGCCGCATTGAAGCCTGCATTGCTGCCCATGGTGACTTGACAAAATACTAACTGTTCACCTGTCTTTGAATCTGGAGTTATGTTCTGCTAATATTCACATTTAATACGCGAGTAAAGAGTGAAAAAATACAAAAATTACAATCTTTAAATTCTCAATAATTTCTGGTTGTACTGTATCATTTCATTAAATAGGTGCCTGTTTAAACAGTTGTCTATGGCACCACAATTCGCTCTGAAAAGATGTCTTAGACAAAGCAGATGCATTTGATCAAGGGTCAGAATATGAAATCAGATCAAAGGTGAAATGCATTGCACACAGCACAGCAGTCAGAAACAGACTGGGCCTCTGTACAGCCAGCATCCACACATTACTGGGCCTCTGTACAGCCAGCATCCACTGTACAGCCAGCATCCACTGTACAGCCAGCATCCACTGTACAGCCAGCATCCACTGTACAGCCAGCATCCACACATTACTGGGCCTCTGTACAGCCAGCATCCACACATTACTGGGCCTCTGTACAGCCAGCATCCACACATTACTGGGCCACTGTACAGCCAGCATCCACTGTACAGCCAGCATCCACTGTACAGCCAGCATCCACACATTGTACAGCCAGCATCCACTGTACAGCCAGCATCCACACATTGTACAGCCAGCATCCACACATTGTATTGCAAGTCAGTAGACTGGGCCTCTGTACAGCCAGCATCCACACATTACTGGGCCACTGTACAGCCAGCATCCATACATTGTATTGCAAGTCAGTAGACTGGGCCTCTGTACAGCCAGCATCCACACATTGTATTGCAAGTCAGTAGACTGGGCCTCTGTACAGCCAGCATCCACACATTGTATTGCAAGTCAGTAGACTGGGCCTCTGTACAGCCAGCATCCACACATTGTATTGCAAGTCAGTAGACTGGGCCTCTGTACAGCCAACATCCACACATTGTATTGCAAGTCAGTAGACTGGGCCTCTGTACAGCCAGCATCCACACATTGTATAGCCAAGTCAGTAGACTGGGCCACTGTACAGCCAGCATCCACATTGTATTGCAAGTCAGTAGACTGGGCCACTGTACAGCCAACATCCACACATTGTATTGCAAGTCAGTAGACTGGGCCTCTGTACAGCCAGCATCCACACATTGTATTGCAAGTCAGTAGACTGGGCCACTGTACAGCCAGCATCCATACATTGTATTGCAAGTCAGTAGACTGGGCCACTGTGCAGCCAGCATCCACACATTGTATTGCAAGTCAGTAGACTGGGCCTCTGTACAGCCAGCATCCACACATTGTACAGCCAGTATCCACACATTGTACAGCCAGCATCCACTGTACAGCCAGCATCCACACATTGTACAGCCAGCATCCACACATTGTATTGCAAGTCAGTAGACTGGGCCTCTGTACAGCCAGCATCCATACATTGTATTGCAAGTCAGTAGACTGGGCCTCTGTACAGCCAGCATCCACACATTGTATTGCAAGTCAGTAGACTGGGCCTCTGTACAGCCAGCATCCACATTGTATTGCAAGTCAGTAGACTGGGCCTCTGTACAGCCAGCATCCACACATTGTATTGCAAGTCAGTAGACTGGGCCTCTGTACAGCCAGCATCCACACATTGTACAGCCAGCATCCACACATTGTACAGCCAGCATCCACTGTACAGCCAGCATCCACACATTGTACAGCCAGCATCCACACATTGTATTGCAAGTCAGTAGACTGGGCCTCTGTACAGCCAGCATCCATACATTGTATTGCAAGTCAGTAGACTGGGCCTCTGTACAGCCAGCATCCACACATTGTATTGCAAGTCAGTAGACTGGGCCTCTGTACAGCCAACATCCACACATTGTATTGCAAGTCAGTAGACTGGGCCTCTGTACAGCCAGCATCCACACATTGTATTGCAAGTCAGTAGACTGGGCCTCTGTACAGCCAGCATCCACACATTGTATTGCAAGCCAGTATCCACACTCTGTACAGCCAGCATCCACTGTACAGCCAGCATGGGCCTCTGTACAGCCAGCATAGACCACACATTGTACAGCCAGCATGCAAGTCACACATGGGCCTCTGTACAAGTCAGTAGACTGGGCCTCTGTACAGCCAGCATCCACACATTGTATTGCAAGTCAGTAGACTGGGCCTCTGTACAGCCAGCATCCACACATTGTATTGCAAGTCAGTAGACTGGGCCTCTGTACAGCCAGCATCCACACATTGTATTGCAAGTCAGTAGACTGGGCCTCTGTACAGCCAGCATCCACACATTGTACAGCCAGTATTGTACAGCCAGCATCATTGTAGACTGGCCAGCATCCACTGTACAGCCAGCATCCACACAATTGTAGACAGCCAGCATCCACACATTGTACAGCAAGTCCACACATTGTAGACTGGGCTGGGCCTGTACAGCCAGCATCCACACTTGTATTGCAAGTCAGTAGACTGGGCCTCTGTACAGCCAGCATCCACACATTGTACAGCAAAATCCACACATATTGTATTGCAAGTCAGTAGACTGGGCTGTACAGCCAGCATCCACACATTGTATTGCAAGTCAGTAGACTGGGCCTCTGTACAGCCAGCATACATACATTGTATTGCAAGTCAGTAGACTGGGCCTCTGTACAGCCAGCATCCACACATTGTATTGCAAGTCAGTAGACTGGGCCTCTGTACAGCCAGCATCCATACATTGTATTGCAAGTCAGTAGACTGGGCCTCTGTACAGCCAGCATCCACACATTGTATTGCAAGTCAGTATACGTGGTAAAACCAAGTCATTGACCTTGCCACACATGTCTGGTACTTTCTTGACATGTTTAATCAGGTCTTACTTGAGGTGTGACAGATCTAAAATGAGGTCATGGATGATCTTCCTTCCTTCCATACGTTGTTTACGAACTTCTTGTAACACCAGCAGTTGGCTGTAAAATAGTTAAAGTGATCTCCAACATGTTTTGTCATTAAACAGGAGATACTCAAATATCTCTCCTACTGCAAACAAATTATATACCACAAAACACTTGTATACAAGAGCAAATGTCCAAATGTGTCCAATCTTGCTAACTGGACATTAGAGGGACTGGGAAAATTGTCCAGATATCGGTCAATCCAGTTATCAGTCCTTGAGACTTGTAGACCAAATTATGGTATTTGGCTTTACCAGGTCTTTAACTACCATATAATTATCAAAAATACCAAATAACAATTATATTTCTTGTTTTATGGATCCGCCAGTCGTATTTTTTCAAGAATAGGAAAAAAAATAATTAATTCTCCCCACAAAAAAAATAAAATCACAATGTTAATGTGATATGAAATATTCTTGAAATCAGCGTGAAACCTAAACTCAGTCAACTTATATTTAGTTGATATAAACTAACCAAACGAGTTAACATGGAAACTCATGTGGGTTTTTGCGTTGGTGATTTTTTTAATTTAAGTTTTCTGAGGACAAAAATCAGTAAAGCAAGAAATGTACTCATGCCAATAATATTATTGGCATGATGGTTGTCACCCCCTTCAATTTTTTGGGGGGAGAGGGTGTGTGGGGTGTGTGGGGTGGGGTGACACCCATTATTGGCATGAGTATATAATTGGTCTGCCCTTATGGTGATATTCAACAGAAAGTTTGCAGATTCTTCACTTTGTTCATGAACTTTAATTTATACAAAATTTCTTCATTTGTTATTTCAAGTGGTACAGACTAGTGCCTGTCAGGCAAATAGGATTAATGGCTCCCCTCTGTCTGGTCATTCATTTGTGGTAAGACAATACCGCTCGTTCTGCCCCTTCTTAACCACTACGATTTCTCTACATAGATTCTAATTATTACAAAGAATATGACTTGTTACTATGTAAAGACCATTTATTTTTCTCGCTACAAAAGACTGAAAAAAATAAATTTCCCACTCTTGATTTTTCTTGTTTTTTGGGGGTGAAATTGTCAGTAAACATCAAAGCATGAAAAAAAATAAAATTGGCCTGTTATCAGAAATGTCTAGGGATTTTGGTTACAGAGCAGGTTCAGTTAAACAATGTCCAGTTATGTGGAGTACACTGTATCATATTCTTCTCAGAAATTTGACTTGATTCTACAATTTAGTAATCATCGGTAAAGATCTAACATATGGAAATTCAACTTATCCAAAATTCAAACTACTTAATGTATATAAGGAGTTGTGGCCTTCATCATGTCTGAGATCAAAACATGTCACCAGTAATGAAAATGGAAAAGAAAACTCATTAACATTCGTTTGTGTTTTAAAGCCACAGTCAGGAATGTTCATTATTCCAGCTCAATGACAGTAGGCTCACAAAGACCATAATTGCAGAATGTAAAACTCAATGGCAAGCCCAGGATCTGTACAAATTACTGCAGGTTAACAGACATTTTGAAAATTTCCCTTTTGTTTTAACACCAGAATATGTTCTTTACCTGGGCTTGTAAAGTTGTAAAGTTTTGTTCTAGCCCTACAATATCTACTGGTCCCCAGTTGATATATATTCATGAGACTTTGCTTTACGGCCTGGCTACTTCAAGACATGGTCATCTCAGCCATTTGTGAAATTCCAGCTGTAATTCAGGCTCTTTACAAGCTGCAGATAGGTACACAATCAACCTTGAATCCAACTGCGAAGCTGAATATGCTAGTCTCTCGTACAGACCCTGAAGCAAATATATCCAAGAAAGCCCACACAAGTCTAGAAAATGTGGCAAGTCTACATTTCCTCAGCTTCTGAAAATGAAGAAAGTCTCAGGGCTCCTTTTCATTATATATTTTTTTTTACTATGAACATTTTTCAGTAAAATATGTTCATTTCAGAGACTAGTTGTTAGTCTACTGAATATGCCTGAGCCTAGATTTACATACCATGTGTAAAGGGAGGCAACTCCAATGACTTTATCAATATGAAGTAAACTGATGAAAAGAGTTATCAAATTCATGACACATCAGTTGTAACATAACAATATCCATGGGTGCAATGATATCAATGAATCAATATTGTTGTCAATGAAATTAACAATATGTACAACAGTATTTATATATTCATGTTTAAATTCTGTTTAAATTTTAAAAAAAAAAGCCAAATATATGGAATATTAACTACCTAAGTACTGAGATATGTACCATGGCATAGGCGGATCCTTTTGTCCTGAAAGTTTATTAAATCAATGAAACTTGGGTGAAAATGAAGTGAGGCCACCACCCCCCCCACCCCATCCAATAGTGTACAACCACCCTTTCTCAAACAACTGTATCCACCCCTGCATGGTCAGTATCAGTACGTGTGTATTGTGATGCAGATGTATCTTGTCACATCAATGGAATCTGTACAATGTCTTTTATCTGATCTTAGGGAACAACTCTCACTGTCAATGGTCCATCTGTTCTTCTATCTCATACGTTCTCAGAATATCCCACGAATGTCTATTTACAGACAGTACCTGGGTTTTACTTACTTTGCTGATTCCTCCATATTGACCACCTCACACAGCTGGGAGTCGGTAAAGTCCAGTTCAGCATCTACATCACTTCCTGGACATCATCAAATTACAAGAGTGAGTTAGTGTTGGGAATTAGTTAAAATCTCATAATTGATGATTGGTTCATTACAACCGATCAATCATCGAAAATAATTGGTTAGTGTCATTTATGAAATGTGTTAATGCACAAAATAATAAGGAAAAAAACCATGTAGTTCTGTGGGTTTTTTTTGGCAAAATTTCGCATCTTTAAAGGATGACTAGTATGGAGGAACATAAATTTCTTAGAGCCTTTAAGATAAATTCAATCATGACTTGGAACGAGCTTGTAGTGCTTATGAAATGTAACAGAAAAAAACAACCTAGTGAAAAATACTGTTAGTGAAAACAAGTGTTCTAGAATTGTTTGTTTTCGATTATGAGAAAACATGATCGATTGCTTGGTCGTTTAGTCACTGCGACCAATCTTCGATTATTTCAATTAATCGGACCACCACTAGAGTGAGTGAGTATGGTTTTGTGCTGTTTATAGCAATAATTCAGCAATGTCAATCGGCTTTACACTTTGTACCTATGTATTGAATAGAATACAGCTTTCAGCAAGATGAATGAAGACTTTAACCTCCCGGCTAATCCACCGCTCATCAACATATCACTATATATCATAACAAACTGGGCATAGTGTCCCATTCCTTGAAGAGAAGAAAAACATGACAAGCATTTTCAAAGTGCTACTTTATAACCTAGCCTGGTTCAGCTCCCTTGGCAGAAGGATAACAGTAAAATTACCAATTTACCCATTCACTTCTGCCAGAACAGATGCAAATTTCAAACTGCAGTCCATTTGCTGCAAAATTGTACTGAAAATACCAAATAAATATACACCCTAAAACAACTATTTATCTAAATGGTGTAAAAGTTATATATTTGTGCATACCAACTCATTACTATACTTTCAGACAATGTCATGAAGTAGTGGAAAAATTGATTGTTGGTGTTTTAAAGACTGTTGTAACAAGGGGGTATGCAGTGTATTAAACCAACACTGCCATTGGGATGAACTGAGATCAAAAGTTATCTTTCAGTAAATCCTCAGAAAGGAAGAAGCACTGATATTAATTTTGTAAACACATACTCACATACCTGCAAGTATGCTAGCTTCTGTGTTCTTCATTGATGTGGTAGAACTTGTACTCTCATCACCACCTCCAGAAGTCATCTCAGGTGCAATAACTTCTCCCGCTTCTCTGGATACCACTGAGTGGCACTGCAGAATCCCTGCTGAATTCTTCTTGGCGTCTGTAACTTGATGTACTGATGTAATGTCATACATTTCTTTCTCCTTTGTTCTGCTTTTGTTAACGGATGAAGGATCAGATGTTTTATTGAAGTCTTCAACACTGCCTGATTCTTGCACAGGATGATCAGAGATCACTTCATCTGTATTCAGGGATAAACACTTTCTACGTTTTCTGTCCTCTTCACTTTCATTGACATCTATCACCATGGTTACTGTCTGGTTTGTATCTTGCACTTGTACTGGAGAAATTACTACTTCAGATGTATAACCTTGGGCAGTACAATCCTGATCAGCTTCCTCCATCTCTACATGTATGTGCATATCTTCCACCTTCTCTACTGATGATGACTTGACATTTTCATCATCAGTTTCAGATGATTTACATTCTTCACTGATGTGCTTTAAACTTTTCAGTACATCTTCAGAAAGAATCAAGGACACATCTTCTGCTTCATCAGGTAATGCTGGGACTGGTATTTCATCACTCAAATGCTCACATCCATCCGCACCGACACCCACACCTCCACATGTCTCCCCGGGTGGTGTCGTCAAGTCACCTCTGTCAGCAGGTACCTCTGCAATTTGTGGGGAACACTCCAGCATCTTAGTATCTGTGGTACCTCCAACAGGTTCATTACATGTCTCAGTCTGCAAGGTGTGAGGAGTATGGCTGCAGCAAGGGTGTTGACCCTCCTTAGGGCTTGCAGCAGCTGCAGTATTGAATTCCTTGGCTCTTGGTTTTGCTTCCTGTTGTGCATGTGACACTTCTGTTTCTGTTTCAGTTTCCTCAATATGTTCTGAGTGAAGAAGGGATTTATCTGGGGCATCACATCCTTCAATTTCTTCTTGTCCATTAGATTCATTAACTTTGCATTCTGTTCTACAACATTAAAATCTCTGACTGATTAAATAATACTGACCATGACATTGTGTGCAATCTGTAAGTTTAGTCTAGAATATTAGTCCAAAGCCAAAATCTGGCAAAGCTCAGCACAACTAACAATATGTAAATTATACTAAAATCAACTGTAAATGATACAGTGATGATAAGTTCAGGCAGAAAATTTAAGAACAGATTGAAGCTCCATGCAAACACATGAGATTGTTTCATCATAACACTTTACTGTCAACTCTCTTTGAGTCGAAGTCCAAGTTTTGAGCCAGTGGTGCCTACTTATCCAGCTAACAAATTTCCCAGATAGCATTCAGACGTTGACCCAACGTTGGAAATGGTTTTGCAAACATTGCCAACGTTGGGCCAACATCCGAATGCTATCTGGATTACAATGCACCTAGCTTATAAATCAGTTGTTTTAACTGGCAATGTTATACAAAGACACAATTTGCCTAACATGTGAGCTATAAATATACTCTGCAGCAAAAAATACCATCAGTACGAATTCAAAATTAGATAGGCACTGTAATCAAATCATTACAGAAATGGACATTAAATAAGCGGATCAAAACCATTTTTTGTGTATAATATCTTGACACATCAATGAATAACTCAGCACAATTTCAAGACATTACGTGAACGTTTGCAGTCCATTCAGACTCTTGACTTCAGTATCTAATGTGATGAGCGGCAATAACTGCACCATGAGCGGCAATATCTGCAGCACAGCTTCTATGCATGGAGTGCACCAATCGATTGATGATGGCACCTGGAACCACACTCTGAGAAAGGCCTGGCACAATAAATCGGCTGTGTTTGGCCTTGGACAGTTGGTATGATATTATTCAGTCTCCTCTGAATTTCATCCCAAAGATGTTCAATTGGGTTTAAATCAGGACTAAGGGCTGGAACACCACAAGGGCCCACTCTCTGCTTCAGGCCGATTCCACACCATACCATGATGCTTGCACCTCCCCTGAGTCTCTTTCCATAACACATTGATCTGAGTAACGCTGGCCACGTCGTCGCCATACTCTTGTTCTGCCATCTGCAGTTGATACGCAGTACCGACTCTCATCTGTGAACAAAACAGTTCTCCATTGCTTGTATCGCTGGTTTTGTTGTTGTACAGCAAACTGTAGACATTCATGCCGATGACGAGGGGTGAGGATAGGTCCACGGTAAGGTCTACGGCAATGGAGGTTCCCGCTGTTAAGACGTCGGCATACTGTATCAGTACTGATTGGTCTTCCGTGTGTTCCCACTGTCTGGCGTGCTGTTTCGGATGCCTGCATGAAGGGATTCTGAACATGCTGTCGCACAACATGGGGTTCTTGTCGTCTTGTGGTGACCACAGGCCCCCACTGCGGGTCAGAAAATCGATAAACTATGCCCCGGTTTAGTATCAACACCCCCTACTATATAGTCACCGTATTTCTGTGATGAACCGTTATGTATTATATAGTAGGGGGTGTTGATACCAAACCGGGGCCTAGTTTATCGATTTTCTGACCCGCAGTGGGGGCCTGTGGTGGTGACCCTTGGTCTGCCAGTACGGGGACGATCATTTGTGGTGATGGTGGCCCGGAAACGTTGCTGCAGCCTGTAGATGGTCTGAACGTTGACATGGCAAGTGATTGGCAACAGCTTGTGCAGTGTGGACAGCTTCAAGTCTTCCTAGCACCTGGTTCCTCTGAGCTGTTGTGAGTCGCGGCATCCTGCTGACGTTGTAATGTGATTGTTTCAACCAGTTTGGGGGTGCATTATATAGGGCTGGTCCTTGTGAACAGCATGTGCAGCATGAGTTGCGTGAAAAACATGGAGAACACCGTACCATCTCCGAGATCAGGTTGCGTTTTGAGACCATTTCCTGGGTTCCATTCTGAGTTTGGGAAGGAATGTCTTTGCTCAGGTAAAGTTGGAGATGTTGTCAAAAATATACAATCAAAACATTAAATGAGTTTACAGTTATCCGTTTCTGCGAAGGAAAATTCCAAACTGACGTTTCTTTTGCTGCTTAGTATATTAGGGCTGTTACGATTTACTTGCATATTTAGTGATTTGAACTGTATCCCTTAACAAATTCAATTCATTATCTGCAGCCACTAGAATTGAATATTGATATCTGTAATAATGTATTTTTACTTTAATTTTGGTGTTATTTATGTGCAAAATAAAATATATTCAAGCCAGGCAGGATAATAGTTGACACTCTTCAAGTTTGACAAAACAAGTCAATTTGTTTTACTGTTGTTTCACTTACGAAATTAAGGTATAATACATCAACTGCTGACTTCTTATAAGTTATCGTACCTGTTATGCAATATTCATATTTGTTACCCCTATTAGTCATGTGTAGCACAGTCGCCTCATAGTGGATTTGTTGGAGCCTAAAAATTATTAATATATTCTTATTGATTTCTATCCCTATTAAGATTGGAGTTAAATTTAGTTGAATCAGGTGGTTCAGCTTGGTGTCATGACAGTTTTAATGTGCTTATCAGCTGTTATGAGCTGACATCAACCATCAGAGCATAAACATATGAAGTTTCTTGTAGTTTAATCATAATTTCCCATTTTTTCTATAATCTCAATAAATGCAATTGAATTCTTCAATTGAAATAATGTATGTATGAATCTCAGCTCTAAAGTTAGCTATTTAAATCAAGGACCAGAGCAGCCTGTTACCCAAAAATACCACCTGATGTTAACTCTACACACACACCAGATGCAAGATATTTGTTTTCACATTTTACTCGGACTAATCCTTTTCACAAAAAAATGTCTAATGTTCATTTATCCCACTTCATCACCAATTCCTGCTGTGTGTGCCATGAATAGCTGGAAATTGCTGATGAAGCATTTCATCCCTGCTGTGTGAAATTTGTCATGCTTTCATTGGCTTCACCTCATCATTTTTAATTATTATATTTGCGTACTTCAAAATATGAGATGTTATTTCTTTCTGTTACTTTATACATTTATGCTTCCAAATTAATGAATTTATGGACCTGGTTTAATCCTTTGCAACAAGCTTATAATGTCAATATGCACCTAATAATACTGAAACAAAATTCCTTAAGTCCAGCCCTGCATCTTACTGGTGGTCGGTGTATCATGAGTCACCATTTCCCCTTTCAAGACTTGCAAAACAGTGAGTGTGCATGTTATAAAACAGATTCTAGTAATTCTTTTCCTCAGAATTCATATCTTGCCTAAATTCACGCCTTGAGATAAAAAGGACTAGCGAGTGAGTAATGAATATTGACATTATAACCAGTCTGTAAATAACATTCAAATTCACATATAGAATTATTGGAATTTTTTTAAAACCATTTTGAAAAAAAATAGAACATCCTCCCATAACATATGTGGGACATTTCAACGTCCCCCTCCACTTAAAAATAGCTCTGGGCATGACCCATTCCTTGCCTGGATGTCATCTAAAGATGGGTCTATCTCTGCCTCATAGTAATTGATACAGGTCTCAACACATTTGACCTAACCAGACGGAACAAACTAAGAATGCAGCCACAAGTGCAAGGTGTAGATTTACTGTAAGATGATGTTTTGTATATGTTTGCACACATAGAGTTTACATTAAATAGCACACATAAAATTTCAGCGATTTGTTTTTTGACATTTTATTTAAAAAAACGATGGAATGTTTTATTTTTTCTATTCACAGTATTTATTTCAACTGTTTCATGACAGATTCATTTCAGAAAAGCTTTACTACACTGATTCGGGCAACCACAAAAGCTGCTTCCCTACTCTAACAGCCTGTTCATACTGTAGTAGACACAGGCTTCAGAGTTGTTCGGAGTTGAGCTTAATACTTCAAACTGTACAATTTTTAAAATCCTATATTAATCCTGCTTTGCAGCACAAAAGTAATTTTTAAGCATACAATAACCAAAATTGATGGCTCTTCAGGCTCATTTAAAATTTATAATCAGACAATACTGTTAAAATGAGCATAAAATTAAAGTCATTTCAGTGAACTATCATGTAACATATGTTATATTTGGGATTACACTTTCTTAGTAAAGTACATGTGTATTCTAGTATCATGGTCACATTGGTGGAATGATTTATAAGGAAAATTTGTGTAAATTATTACTCCAAATAATTTATACAGAAATTCATTACTAATTATTCCACCATGATAGAACGCTAACTTTGTGTGTATGTAATTGTAATAGCATTTTGTTAAATTTCATTGATAAAACATGCAACTTTTTAATCATGCCTCAAGTAAGGTGATATGTATTGCTACATGAGATATACTGGAAATCATCACAAGGACTGCCTTGATTTCACAACAACACCATAAAAACGTGGGACTTACTGTTCATGTATTCTTTCATGTGCAGGGATAGCTACTTTTTTCTTCTTGATAAACGAAGGGACAACCCTGATCTGAGAATCCGTCTGCCTGAAATACAAGTTTTATTAGCATGAAGTCATACTTATGATTTGTTTTGGTTCATTTCAAACTTTTGTTTAATGAAGGACACTAAAAACAACAGTATGTAATCCTTTAGCCTTGTAGTAACTGAGCAGCCCTTTAGACAACTTGTATTGTAGCAAACAACATCTACAAAGTTTGTATCTCACTATGTAAGTACATGTAGTCCAAAAGGATAAGGCTATTATATCCTTTTTCTTTTGAGAAGATGTATCAGAATTGAATTAGATGCTTTATTGGCAGTTTAGAAGATGCATGCTATCTTATGAACATAGAGAATTTTCTGGGTTTCATATTCTTTTTATTGAGCTGTAGAAATTACTGTAGAACTAAAGAACAGTAACTTTCTAGAACTGTTCAACAGTTACTGTTGTTTAGTTCTACCTGATGATGGGGTCAGAAGAAGCCCTGAAACATTGTACCAAACAATAAAATGAGGATGAAACCCAGAAAATTCTCTATCAGGGATTGGGAAGGGCAGGGGCCATGGGCCATTTTGCACACTAGAATACAAAACAGCCCATTAAAATTTGGAAGTTTACTATTGATACAAGGGTAGTGCCCATTCTAAATTCAGAAAATGGCTAATAATCCTGAAAATGGCCCATTGTAAAAGTTCTCTATCCCAATCCCTGCTCTATGTTCAGAAATAAATTGTTGATATGTTTGTGAAAGGATTGATAGTCCTGACACAATTGGGTGAAAAAGCCTTGTTTGTGTTGTTGACTACATAGACCAATCAGGCTAGTACTTACTTGAATTCTTCATTGTTGGTTACAACCTCCTCCTGTGAGTACTTACTTTCCTGCCCTGCAGAAAAAAAGAAAAGGAAAAGTAAAACAACTGGACATTCAATTTAAAGAATGTAATATAAGTTGTGCTGACTGTCATTAACACATACATACCCCAGGTGCCAGATGCCAAGCTGGAATGATTGCTGACTGCTGCGTTAAACAACAGACCCCCCCCCAAAAAAAACCAACAACAACAACAACAACAACAAACAAACCCAAAAACAACAGCCTCATAAACAGGTGTCAGGTACTAGTGTCATGGCTCATGATGGATGATATATGCTTTCATTTACATTGGTCAAGAAACCAGATCCACATTTTCACCCCTCAATAAGTTCAGAATTGCTGGATTATTACAGAAAGACACAAATTCATTGTAACTAGGGCTCTCACGAGTCCAAAATTTGGGACTCGAGTACTCGAGGTGTCAGACCCGACTCGGACCCGAGTACCCGACAATTTGGATGCTTATCTGAAACCAACTTTCAAGCATACACGTAGCTGTTCCAACTTCCAATCTACGAATAATGCAACATGTATATGTGAATACAAACGTTCCTGAATAAAGCAATTGGTATTCAATGTCAATGGAAGTATCTATTACCTTTTTATTTGCAAACAGAATGTGAAGGCAACGTAAGTGTCACTGTGACCCAGTTCTACGCGATCAATTATGTGATTAATATTCATGAGCTGGGCCGGTGATACCTTATTACGCCTGTAAATGCTGTAATATGATTGGATGTGTCCGGGAAAAGAAACCAATCAATCTACTTCTCTTTTCTTTTGGTTTTAAGTTTGACTGCGCTTTCAAGATTATCTAATATTAATATGTCGTTGCAGTTATGACATATTAGCAACTTTTAAACATTAACCTGGACGATAAGTCACATAATCAATTAACCTTAATCACGGTTAAAATGTGGCAAAACACGTTCCAAAGCTGGAAGATACATAGATAAAGCGTTCATTGATTGGTGCTGCATTAGATACTAGTATCTTGTAAAGATGGATCGACTATGGAACTTAAAGAATATGTAAAACAGGATTGATGTTTATTTGAGACTTCTTATAATGAAAACGGTTTGGTTTCAAACTAAAGACTAACCATTTATTGAGTAACACTACGCTGTATTTCTTCTTCCGAAACTCTGCTGAACGGAGATCACGTCAATGGTATTCATTGTGATTAAAATTTTCACTATTAAGGATATAGGTCTCCAAGTGTGAATGTTATTTTGAATGCGTATGTATGTGTAGATTGTTGAATATGTAACACTGAAATACGCTGGATAAGAACGACTGAATATCTATGTAGAAAACAAGTTGTTCAAACATAGGTATAGTGGGCAGGGACAGTGATACAGCCGTGAGTGGTTACGCTTGTCCACGCGTCCGTAGTTAGGGCAACGGCAGGTACTGTTTTGGGTACTGATATTTTGTTCTCCTTGCAAACTTCATACGACATTATGAGGTAGTTGTGAATTGCGGCAGTACATGGGACCTGGTAATTTGGGTTCAATGGTTCACAGAAAGCCCTGAAACCCTCCCTTTTAACAAGACTTAATGGTCGCATATCCTTAACGCGCATAAGCATTGCTTTTTGCGTAATACCTTCATACCATTTCCTGTCAACAGGCTTGCGACTTTTGCTATCAAACTTACCAAACTGCCCCAGCGTTGCTTGTTGAGCTGGTTTTCTGTCTACAGTGCTATATTGTGGGTGCTTACAGGACAAATGCTTGTGTAAATAAGGGAAACGCCACAAAGACGGCATTTCGTATTTTGGCCACTAAATCAAGATACAAATGCGTCCAGACATTGGATTTTTTCTCACGATCATCCATCTTGATTGCATGAGATGTTTAGAGGTATCTCCCCTGCGAGTCTTCGAGTCCATTCAATTGGACTCGAGTCCTGCTTTACCCGACTCGGCCCCGAGTACTCGTGAGAGCCCTAATTGTAACAGCTGTGTCATACTGAATATCTCTCAAAATAATACACAGCACAGAGATCAATCTGTGACATCAGGGTACTAACAAAACTCAATCTGTGACATCAGGGTACTAACGAAACATAATCTGTGACATCAGGGTACTAACAAAACACAAACTGTGACATCAGGGTACTAACAAAACACAAACTGTGACATCAGGGTACTAACAAAACACAATCTGTGACATCAGGGTACTAACAAAACACAATCTGTGACATCGGGGTACTAACAAAACACAATCTGTGACATCAGGGTACTAACAAAACAATCTGTGACATCAGGGTACTAACAAAACACAATCTGTGACATCAGCATACTAACAAAACACAATCTGTGACATCAGGGTACTAACAAAACACAATCAGTGGTAAGAGTTTCATAGGATTTGAGGGGTGGTGGGGTAGCTTAATGGTTAAAGCGTTTGCTTGTCACGCCGCGTACGATATCCTCACATGGGTACAATTTGTGAAGCCCATATCTGGTGCCCCTACCGTGATATTGCAGGAATATTGCTAAAATAGTGTAAACTAATATTATGATATGGGTCTTGGGTCCAAGTGATGGTTCCGTGTGAAACACCTTATCTAACTGGCGTGCTGGTCTGCTTGGGGAATTAACTCAGCAAAAGAGTCCTAAGTCACAAGAAGCTAATCACACTTTTATTTACAAGAACGGAGTAACATGGGGTCCACAGAGAGTCGGTACAAACCCTCTGGGCTGAGGGCTAGAGCTGACCTGTGTTGGGAGTCTAAACCCTACTGATGGACAAATGAAGATAGAGACATTTTATCTACAATTAAAACAATAAAGAGATTATGATTGGTTGACTGATACAAAAAATGGGTGTAACCTACATTAGCCTATCAAATACAGAATATACTAAATGGGGTGGGTCCTTCAATGACCAGACAGGGCAATCACTCTTAATCCTTGTTAATCCTAGTTTAACTGGCACTAATCTCGATGGCACTTTTACTGGATGCTTGGATGCTTACCCTGGGCTAGATCTCAATGAGCCTAATCTGATGTGTCAATTACAGGTGCTTGGATTACAATAGATGCATTTAATCGTCTGGTCATAACTCTGAATTACTGAAAGGGTTGCTAACAGCTTGAGTCCTCAATACCTTAGGCTAGGATTTTATCTTGGATATCTGTGAAATTGTGTAGCCGTGATTTATCCCTTTTTCAATAGTATGTCTGTGAGATGAGTTTTACAACTTTTGACTGGAGTCTTTCTCTAAGCTATTACTAATATTCTATATTTATATTTTCCTAATATCTGAATCCTAATATATTGCTTGTAGTGGTAATAATGAATAATGAATTTTGTATGAATTATTATCCCATGATAACTTCCCACTGTCTGAAAAAGTTTGGTCCCCAAACTTGGACAAAAGATTTCTTAGATGGACAATGGTATAAACTTAGTTGATGGACAATGGTAGAATAGTAAATGGTAATTAGATTGTCTCTTTGGTACTGGGGCACAAGTTCCTTCTGCTGTCATCTGGTCGTCTGGATGTGGAATCGGGCTTGTCATGGCTCTGTGTACTGGTTCTTTATGTTTCCAGGAGGCCTTGTGATGGTTCCACATCCTGATTTTGGAGTTGACTTCTCCATTATCCCATGCAGACAGATGATTTACATGAAAAATTCAAAACAAAAGAGAGTTAGCTTGCTGCCAACAATATACATGTAACTATTTTGGTTTGTGCTGAATACGCATTACATAAAGATACTTTTCCCTGCAAATAAATTGTCTATTAGTGCATTGTAAGAGGTGACTTTTATGTATTGAAGTCATGACCTGGAATAATGCATGGGCAGTTAATACAACGTACATGGGGTGATAAAACACATAAATGTCATGTATGAGCAAATATATATACATGTGCTTGTATGATTCTCCACCAACTATTATGATATGGGTCTTGGGTCCAAGTGATGGTTCCGTGAAACACCTTATCTAACTGGCGTGCTGGTCTGCTTTGGGGAATTAACTCAGCAAAGAGTCCGAAGTCACAAGAAGCTAATCACACTTTTATTTACAAGAACGGAGTAACATGGGGTGGCCACAGAGAGTCGGTACAACCCTCTGGGCTGAGGGCTAGAGCTGACCTGTGTTGGGAGTCTAAACCCTACTGATGGACAAATGAAGATAGAGACATTTTATCTACAATTAAAACAATAAAGAGATTATGATTGGTTGACTGATACAAAAATGGGTGTAACCTACATTAGCCTATCAAATACAGAATATACTAAATGGGGTGGGTCCTTCAATGACCAGACAGGGCAATCACTCTTAATCCTTGTTAATCCTAGTTTAACTGGCACTAATCTCGATGGCACTTTTACTGGATGCTTGGATGCTTACCCTGGGCTAGATCTCAATGAGCCTAATCTGATGTGTCAATTACAGGTGCTTGGATTACAATAGATGCATTTAATCGTCTGGTCATAACTCTGAATTACTGAAAGGGTTGCTAACAGCTTGAGTCCTCAATACCTTAGGCTAGGATTTTATCTTGGATATCTGTGAAATTGTGTAGCCGTGATTTATCCCTTTTCAATAGTATGTCTGTGAGATGAGTTTTACAACTTTTGACTGGAGTCTTTCTCTAAGCTATTACTAATATTCTATATTTATATTTTCCTAATATCTGAATCCTAATATATTGCTGTAGTGGTAATAATGAATAATGAATTTTGTATGAATTATTATCCCATGATACTAAACTCACTCACTCACATACCACTATAGGATTTGAACCCCAACATCACAATATTATTCATTTTAGGGACAGTTGACAAGAATGATAAAATATCTCTCTTACTTATTATTACAATTTCACAATTTTATTACTTTACAGGACCCTTAAGTTTCCTGAGAAGACCCCTTGAAATGAGCAATTAGGGTCTGCTCGATTTCGTAACTGTAACGCCTTTCACTCTTCCTAAAACATTATTATCCCATACTTTTGGTCCTAAAATCCCACAAGAGTTGCTGATGTGACTTAAACACAAAACTTAAAGGTCACATGCAACGTAAAACACAACTTTGCAGATTCTGATACCTTTCGTATGGACTTACCAAACAAAGCCAAAATGCAAATTCAACTTATAAAGTTGAAAAATAACGCATGAAAAAAAAAAACGCGCTGAAATCGAGAGTTCAAACGTTTCACTAATTTTCCCCAGACTTTTCTGGGGAATACCGGTTTCAACAGCTGGCTGGCGCCATAGCACGCGCGCAGTGAAATAGGTTTCGCGAACTTGGAAGCTGGCTGTCTGGTGAATACTCTGGTGAAGGCTTTGGTGTGAGCTATTTTCATAATGTTTTGTTGATATCTCACAGGCGAGCTTTTATATGTTATGACAGTAAATAAACTGTTTATATAATTTCATTTGTCTATTTCACCACACGCTCTTCTTACCGAGTCACTTTCTCAGTTCGATACTTAAAAGCAATGTCATTATTTAGCTGACACAATTTCTAACTGTGATATAGATATGTCGCTGTCACAGACAAAACTCAATGTCTTGTTTTATTGACACCTGTGTGTCTGCCTGCCTGTCTGCTAATGACAATATTCAATACACAACTGCGATCACTGACCACATGCAATTTGAACTTAACACCAATCAGGCTATACACCATAAACAAAACGCATTGATTTATGGCCCGAAGTTCGGGTCTCTGTCACATTATGTAATTACACAGACAGGCAGGTGTGATAATTTGAACACATGACATGTTATGATGTCTGTTGATTGCAAAATGTTATACACAAAAATGAGCATGTATTTACAAAACCCAACATCTCTATATATACACACACAATGAGCCGCGGAAGGCGGCATCTGCTAATGAACCAGCCGCTACACTTGAGTGCACACCCACCCGCTTCTGACTGGGTTCGTATCCCGGCTGCTTCGCTTCGAGGGAGGTAAACCCAAGTACAAAAATATTGCACTTTTGATTTGCATGCATTATACGCTTATAATTTTGTTTATTTGTTTTTTCATAATCAGCAATGCATATTATATGTCATGAAGAAGTGATAATTGTGTTTTAATTATGTTTGATTTTTGGTTGCATGTGACCTTTAAGAATACACAACGAAGACAACAAAGACTTGGACATGTCACTGGATCAGCTTTGTATTATGACAATTATCCCTGACACTACCTGTCTTTGTGAGCAATCACACATGCAGATTATTGATGCTTCAAGTAAGTAAATACAATTGATGTTTAGTTATGTGACTGTGGTATTAATTATCCAAGGTAACTCCAACTGGGCCATACCACATAACATATGTAAGCTTAAAGACCTTATAACTCCATGATATTCTACAATGGTAGCCATATGCCTACCATTTAGCTGGAAAAGTTAATCTAGGCTTGTTTCTTGTCACAAAACAATATAAACCTATTATTCTAACATGATATTTAATCTCTTCCAAAGAATGCAATATGTAATACACTGGTGACACAGAATACAGAGAATTAATTAAGGAGCTTTTGGGCAGATAGAACATATTCTAGATATGTACTAGTGACCTGAAACACTTAACACAACATTCCATAACCTTGACATGATATGGTGTAACCTTGTGATGATATGGTGTAGCCTTGAGTTGATGTGGTGTAACCTTGTGATGTCGGATGAACCTTGACATGATATGGTGTAACATTGTGATGATATTGAGCAACCTTTGTGACGATATGGTGTAACCTTGTGATGATATCATATGGTGTAGACTTGAGATGATATGGTGTAACCTTGTGGATGATATGGAGCAACCTTTGTGATGATATGGTGTAGGCTTGAGATGATATGGTGTAACTTTGTGATGATATGGAGGAACCTTGTGATGATATGTCGGAACCTTGTGATGATACGGTGTAACCTTGTGATGATATGTTGAGGCTTGAGATGATATGGTGTAATCTTGTGATGATATGGAGCAACCTTGTGATGATATGGTGTAACCTTGAGATGATATGGTGTAGGCTTGAGATGATATGGTGTAACCTTGTGATGATATGGGGCTATCATATGAATGTGTGTGGTATGAAATTTTAATATTTGAAAGCTCTTAAGTCAGTCATAATGAAAAAGAAAGGTACCTACCTTTTGAGGGACATTTTCTTCTTTCCCTTCCTCTTGCCCTGTTGTTCATGACTACTAATTCTACCAACAACAGAAAACAGTGTACTACTTAGTCGAGATAAGTGCTAGAAGAAAAGAATAACCACAACCTTATGCAGACATTATTGAGTCATAGTGAAGCCTCCTCTTGGTTTGAAAAGTGTTCAAGTCTAATTTATGATTATATTGTACTTTGTAATCATGACATATGAGACCGTGGTCCATGGGTATATTGTTCGAGTCCCTGTTCGGGCTGCCAAATGAGGCCCTGGTCACTCTTTGTCTATCTCGTGATCATCCAAAAAGTAAAAACATTAAAGATACAAAGGCACACTCCAATGACTTTTCACAAAAGCAATATGTTTTATCTAAATGTTGCTTTTGTCACTCTGCAATGTGTGTTAAATAGAAAGGTAAAACCCAATATGGCCAAACACAAATCAATCTCTTTGGAGTGATTTGGTGTATCATTCCTCCTATTTGTAGCCTCAATTTGTGGTTATATTTCAGGTGCGTGGATACTGCTGATTGGGTGCTTGGCAACTGGTTTAACAGTTGTGTGTTCTACAGTGTTTATGGAATATGATGGGGGGGGGGGGTCACTTACTTTGAACATAAATTTTAGGAGGGGCCATTGACATTGTACATGCTTCTCCATACAAATCATCATATATAACTGGATGCCTCTGCACTATACCCAGATGTGCTCGATGTAGGCCTTGGCTGGAAGTTGCTTCGTTTGCAAAAAGATCTATTAACAAAACAGAAAAGTGTAGCCAAGGTGCACATCCAGAAGACCAAATTGTCAGATGGAATGAGGCATTAGGGTCCATTGTTCTGCCATAAGATCTTATCTAATCACATTTAAAACTACAGTACCCAGTAATAACAACAATGTAAACTTATTTTGAAAAATGGAATAGTAATAAGCATTGTCCATTATTTTAAGCAACTGGAGCAAGTTTGTGACTGTGAGAACTGAAGAAGTTTAAAGCAAAGATTTTGAAGAGACGGTATCATTGACGGGTTGAATGGGAACATCCACATGTAAAACCCATTTTGTTTGGAATGAACATATACAAAAAAATACTCTTTTAACTACTTTTGAAGATTAGATAAGAGACACATGTTTATTGTCCACCTAATACCTGGCTGTTTATTCCCAAGCGTCTGAAATGAGTCTTGTTTTCGTCGTCTGCTGCAACCGGAAGTTAGATGCCGTAAACCATTATTGGAGTTGTGTCTAAACACGTTACGACATTTCATAATAAATGTATATATGAAAGATTTATTAGAATTTTGAGTGCATCACGTTGAATACTGGCTTTGTTTGCTTTGTCAGCAAGATAAATAAAAATGTACTCATGACTTACTTTAAGTCGTGAAACGAGACGCACCAAAATAACTACAAAGTAAACCGGGTAAATTCGCATTTATGACATACTCTTATATAATTTATCAATCACGCAATTTGTAAGCACTATTGGAGTGTGGTACAACTGAATCCAAACATTTTGACGTTTCAGTCGCTGCTTGGTGTAGTAGTTCGAGCACCAGATTCGTCCGTTTACGACCTCTACAGTAACCCATACTTGTAAGAGGCGACTAACGGGATCGGGTGGTCAGGCTGGTTGGCTTGGTTGACACATGTCATCGGTCCCCAATTGCGCAGATCGATGCTCGTGCTGTTGGTCAATGGATTGTCTGGTCCAGACTCGATTAATTACAGACCGCCGCCATATAGCTGGAATATTGCTGAGTGTGGCGTAAAACTAAACTCACTCACTCCGTTTACGACCAAATTGATCTTTCTTTTAACAAGGAGACAACGGGCATGGTTACAATGCAAATATTATATGACATACAGATTCACAGTCTAAGTAAACTTAGGCTCAGTATTATTCGTTACACTGCTATACTGATAGCAGTGTTACGTTTACGTTTACTTAGACTGTACAGATTCACTGACCATGTTCGATACTACGGTCAAACTAAACAACGTTATCGTAAGTGTCATCAGTACGTGCTATTATCTACGATAGCTGGAAAGGGTATACAATAGGGAACGAAAGTCACAATTAAGCATTCTTTGGCTGTCTAGAAAATTCACCCAGGTAAGCAACTTTACTTTCGACTATTTTCTTAAAATCTTAATGCTGTCATGTCAGTTTAATCTATCTTACCGTAACTACATGCTACCATCCTTGGCACTACCTTCAGGTCTATGTGGAACGTGGAATCCTTTGCAGGTATCTCTCAGATACTCTGTATTACTGAACGTAGAGACTTTTCTGGGTTTCATCTTCTTGTATATTGTTTGGTACAACGTTTCAGGGTTTGTTCTGGACCCATCATCAGTTACTGTTCTTTAATTCTACCTGATAATGGGTAGTGTTGTCAGCTATTTTGTACATGAATATATTTAAAAAATGATGCTTAAAACGTATGGGAAGTGGATGAATCATTGACTTTGTACATGACACGCAGGTGTGGTCACTGACTTTGTAGATAAATCTTAAGGGTTTCATTCACATGGTACATGCCTCTCCATAAAAATCATCATCACCAGTCCTAGCCATACATTATGGACGGGTCCCTGGCACAACGGTTTTGAGCTGCCATCGACAGCAACTCTCTGATTGGTTCTTTGCAATTTTAGCCACGCCTACGTTTAACAAACATAACTGTCTGTTTCAAATGGATGTAAACCTTCTAAAAAGACAACCAACATTTGTTTTAAATAATGATAATTTTGTCGGAAACATGGTGACAAATACATCATTAAACATTTGCAGTAATTATTTTTTATAACTGTGACAGTGTAATGCCGTCTTTAGTATTATCACGGCGGCGGTCTCAAACAGAATGATTTTAGATTCAAATATCCCGCGCAGATTTCCAAATTTGAATGCAGAATGTGGGCGTGGTACAAAGCAGAACTTTCACTTCATCCAATCACTCGCGCTTGGTCCAAAAACATTACGCTCTGGTCGCTGTTGATTGGTCGATGAATTTACAATAATGTATGGCTATATTCACTGTCGTTAGTACGTAATAGTGAGTGAGTTGGGTATAATGCTGCGTTAGGGGCGGTGGGGTAGCCTAGTGGTAAAAGCGTTCGCTCGTCACGGGTTCGATTGCCCAAATGGGTATAATGCGCGAAGCCCATTTCTGGTGTCCCCCGCCGTGATGTTGCTGGAATTTATTGCTAAAAGCGGCGTAAAACCATACTCACTCACTCTTAGTCTTGTGTGTGCTGACTTATGAAACATAAGGGGCGGTGGCGTAGCGGAGTGGTTAAAGCCTTCGCGCGTTTCACCGAAGACCCGGGTTCGAATCCCCACATGGGTACAATGCGTGAAGCCCATTTCTGGTGTCCCCCGCCGTGATATTGCTGGAATATTGCTAAAAGTGGCGTAAACCCATACTCACTCCCTCAGTGCCAACGATATATTTTCGATTCTTTCTGTAAAGAAGAACTTGACCAACCTCCTTATAACATTGGGACGAGGGTCATATAAGCCATACACGATCAAAATGAAATGTTATAATCATATTACAGTTACTAAAATATTATCACAGGATATTCAATTTAGGATGCGATGTGGTGCATTTATTTCACTCTTAAATAGTAAGAATATGCTGCATAAAATATATAATACTTTGCTTCAAACAACGATAATTCACGAAGCTGAAATAAAGAATTTAACATAAATTTAGAAATAAAACCAATATTAGCTCATAAGAAAACATTTGGTCAGATTAAGACGTGTGGAACCTTTTTCTAAAATAACATAAATGACACAACCATTCATTAAGACTTGATTTAACCTGTAACAATGTATTAACATAATTAATAATATTAAAGAAAATCAGGTGTTGCTAACAATCAGTTTATTTATACGAATACATTTCCACTGAGCAAACTAGCAATATATGATTAATAAATCATGAAAATACATAATCATAGTCCTTTAAACCATGAAGAATACAACCTCATTTCCTGTCTACCAATAAGATACCAGCCACCACCTCTCTGGCTCAATATGATAATATGTTATCTGGTAAAATGCATCTAATTAGTCTGTTAGCATGCCAAAATTTATCAAATTTTGCCCTTTAAAGTAATTGTCAAAATCCAGTTTCGAAACTAAACATTCACAATATTTAGATAACGAAGTTTAATGTAGTAAAACTAAATTCATCTCCCGGTCAAATTTATAACCTATTATCATATTTCAAAGTCATTTTACAATCTACCGACCGCGGTGTCACGCCATATGATACACAGCCTAGGGCTATACCTACAGGTTTCCCCAAACTACAGCCAGTCTTGTTATTCAACATTACTTCAAACTCAGCTAGATATGTATCTATATTATATAATTTACCGACATTGACACGTTGAATTGCCGACATACCTGCCTTTTATAAGCAGCCCAGTCCCAGACCCAAACCAGAGAATATCTGGGACTGGTAATAAACGCATCGAAACTCTGCTTCCAGGTATGTTGGCCAATATTTCTACCTCTTTGTAACTTGTATTTGAATGGTGTGAGTAGCCATCCTCTACCCCGAGTTATAATTCCCCACAAACAGCCACATAAGTACTAGTGCCGTAGGCGTTCAGAAAAAGCTTAGTTTATACGTGGTAGAGAATCTGCTCCGGTACATGGCTACTTATCATCAACCTACCAACTACGGAGTCCAGACCCGAAGCCACACCCAGCAGCAGAGTGAGACAGACACCCAGACTGAATCCCAGATCAGCGAGGAGCCTGGATCAACCCCCACCCAGCCAGTCCCAACCAGGCCCAGTTGTTGGAACAAGAGGTGTGCCAACCCCACCCAACGACCAACTTCCAACAGCAATGGCAAGCCTGTCAAACCTGGTACCAAGATTCAACGGCACTGGCAATGCCAGGCAATGGCTCAGAAAAGTAGAGTGCCTTCGCCAACACCAGAAGATGACAGATGAGGTATATCTTAATCTACTACCTCTCTATTTGGAAGGTCCTGCCATCACATGGCTGGATTCTCTTCAGCCAGCTCCAACAACCAGAGCAGCGTTTGAAGAAGCATTCAAGCAGAGATACGTCCAGGATTCAGCAGCACAGACGGCCTTCCTGGGAGATCAGCAGAGATCTGATGAGTCAGGCGTGGCCTTCATTGAGAGGGTCATGGAGAAGACCACAGGCCTGGAGATACCTGAGGTATTTCTAGTTCAGGTCATAATGAATGGCCTGTCTACAGACCTGAAAAGTATTGTGATGCCTCAAGGCGCCAGAACCCTACAGGCCCTCTCCGACCAAGTGCGACTGGCTCAGAAGACAGTAGATGCCACAAAAACTTCCAGTCCGAATGTGTCTGCTGTCACAACACCGGATCCAGCCCCTCTCCCAGATCGCAGCACTGCTCACCGACCAGCAGAAGCAGCTGAACGACCTAGCTGGTCAGCTGGAAGAGACCAGGGCTCATGCCAAGAGGCGGGAGCAGAAGCCACAGTCTCAACATCGACAGCAGTGGCACCAGAAACCCAACAACCAGCAGCCCCAGCATCAACGGTCCTATAATCAAGGTAAATGCAATGGATGCGGGTATTCTGGCCATTCTAGATTACAATGTCATGCTCGTGACCAAACTTGTAACCATTGTGGAATTGTAGGTCACTATGCTAGGGTTTGTCGGAATAGGTTACGGAAACAATAGGAATCTCCGCCTGTTCATAAGAATCCTCTTGTGGACAGGCATACAAATGTAACGAGCACAGGCAACAGAAAGGTCATGAATACTGTTAATGTCAGAATTGGAATGCGTCAGTGTCATGCTTTAGTAGATACAGGTGCATCTTTGTCAGTTGTCTCCCCTTATTACATTAAAAGGGCTAGTGTCAATTTAAGCAGGGTACAGAAATGTTCTCTTACACATGTTACAGGAGTAGGGGGGTGAAAAGCATTCCATTCATGGTTCAATAACTATTGGTGGTATCAATAGGTGGCGTAGCCATTGAGCATGAATTTCTTTGTCTTAGAGGCAGTACAGCATTCAATTATTTTAGGACAAGATTTTCTTCAGGTAAATCAAGCAATTATTGACTATGCTTCACATTCTATCTCCTTCCATCATGGTCTGATAGTAGTACCCCTCACCACAGTTGGTTCTGATTTAATCCGTACAACAACTGCAGTTACTATACCACCCAATAGTCAAATGATTATTCCAGTAACTTTGAAACGTCACCAAGGTAAGTCTCAGACCTTAATCTTGAACCTGTGCCGCAGCTGTCATACATGAACTTGGCAGGTGCCAAATGCGTCATCAACCCAAACCAAGGTAAGACATATTACACATTGTTAAATCCTTGTAGCGACCCAGTAACTATACCTTCGAATAAGGTCATTGCTGTAGCTCATCCAGTTGAGGTAGCATCTATTCAACCTATCAAGGAAACAGACAAGCCAACACATTCTCAAACCAAATCAGAAATATCATTTGATCTTAGTAAGGCTGATCTTGATAACAGACAGAAATCAAAGCTTTATCAAGCATTGCATGCAAATAATGATATCTTTGCATCTGATAAGTCTCAACTTACTGTTACAAACCTGTACCAGCACAAAATTGAAACCACCCCTGGAGCCAAGCCAGTTCATCTACCCTTTATCGAAGAACCCGGAAGCTAAAGCTGAAACTGATCGCCAGACACAGGAACTCCTCGTTGGGTTTGATTGAACGTTCCAATTCCCCGTGGCAAAGCCCAGTGGTTCTTGTAAAGAAGAAGTCAGGTGAGTTCCGCTTTGCGGTGGACTATCGCGCCCCTCAACAAGATAACGACCCCTGCTTCATTCCCTTTACCTCGCCTGGAAGATGCCCTTTGATGCAATTGAGACTCACAAGCTAAAGTCTTCCACTCTGGATTTGGCTTCTGGCTTCTGGCAGATTCCTATGGATCCAGAAACAGCCCACAAAGCAGCATTTGTTACCCAAAGTGGCCTATATTCCTGGAAAATAATGCCATCTGGTCTGAAAAATGCGCCCTCTACCTTCCAAATGGTCATGGCGAGAGCTCTCCAAGGCTTAATATGGTCATTTTGCTTAGTATATGTAGATGATATTCTCATATACAGCAAAACTTTGAGGAACATGTGTCACACTTACAAGCAGTTTTAATCGTCTTCGATCAGCCAATCTTAAACTGCAGCCAAACAAGTGCCATTTTGCTTGTTCAGAAGTCATGTATCTTGGTCACATTTTGTCAAAACATGGTGTTAGAACAGATCCTTCAAAAACAGAGAGGCCGTAAGAACATTCCCAACTCCTAAAAACGTAAATGATCTCCGTAGCTTTTAGGCCTTTGCAATTACTATCGAAAATTCATAGAGGGTTTCTCCAAAATTGCCCATCCACTGAATAACCTTTTGCAAAAGACACCATCTTTAAATGGTCACCTGATTGCCAAACTGCATTTTGAAACATTAAAATCCAAATTGACCTAAGTTCTCCTGTTTTGGCTTCTTTACCCTGACATGAGAAAGCCCTTTACTCTTACGACTGACGCCTCTGGATCAGCAATCGGTTATATTTTAGGTCAGCTTGATGATAAAGGTCGTGAAAGAGCAATTACTTTGGGGGTAGGTCTCAAAACCTTATGAGAAGAATTGACAGTTAGTGAACAAGAATGTTTAGCAGTTGTGGGAGGCAGTTAAGGCCAATCGGATCTATCTCACTAGCAAACCATTTAAAAAATTGTTACAGACCATAAGGCCCTTTGTTTGGTTGCAGAACATCAAGCATACCACCAGTCGATTACATAGGTGGGCATTGGAATTACAAGAATACTCGTATGAAATTGTCCATAGACCAGGAAAATCCATGCTAATGCTGATGCCTTGTCAAGACGAGAGTATCATCAAGAACAATCCACAGCCATCAATGAGGTCACGGTACCACAAGAGGACAAGGAACATCTTGAAGTTGAGTTCTTTTTATGACTCTATCCCACCTATCATAGCTCAACTAGATGAAGCTGCAGACCATCATGACCCCAGCCTCCCGGATCTACAGAATGTTAGTGATCTACAGAGACAATGTCCTGACTTTAGTGGAATCATTCAGTACATCGAAGACTCTCAACTTTGCCAGATGATGAAAGGTCGGAAAGAAGGTACAAAATACTGCACATGAATATCAACTTCTCAATGGAATATTGTATCATTTTACCAGCCACGAGCACGCCGGACTGAAGATGCTGATAAACTGATCCGTCAGTTAGCTCTTCCCAAAATCCTTCGTAAAGACGCTCTATTGTCTTTACCATGATTCCAAGGCAGGTGGTGGACACTCCTTGGCGCCGACCGGGTCTATGGTGCCCTCTCGTCTTAAATTCTACTGGCTCCAGGTATGTACCAAAATATACACGACTACATTAAGTCATGCAAAATGTCCCGAAGCTTCAAAGGTTTCAAGACATCCACCTAAGGCACCCTTTTGCACCTTTGCTAATCACTGATGTCTTTGATAGATTCTGCCATGGACTTCCCTGGGACCCTTGACAGAGACTCCAGATGGCTTCAAACATATTCTACTGATAGTAGACTCCTTATAGCCGTTGGTCAGAAGCCTTCCATTTTGAAAACCTTGCTAGCTTCACAGAGGTAGCAAGAGTCTTATATGAAGAAATCTTCTGCCGCTATGGAGCGCCCAAATCCATCGTATCAGACCGAGGTAGGAACTTTGTCTCAAAGCTTGTAGGAGCTATATGTGAAATCTTTCAAGTCACAGACACACTTGTTCCTCGCACCATCCTGCCAGCAATAGTGCGTGTGAGAGGGCCAATAGTACACCCTTACAATCCTTACGCACTTATTGTGATACTTAATCACTCCAACTGGCCCTCTCTAATCCCTGGAATCATGATGGCATTCCGGATGTCACCATACACCCAATCAACAGGATTCTCTCCATTCCACATGGTGTTTGGCAAGTGTTGAAAATGAATATCCTTTCGGACACAGCTATTTTACCAAAAGAAAATATGGGTAAAACAGCTACTGAACATGTCACCCGAATTAATGAATAACCTGAAAATAGTAAAAGAGATAGCTTCCTGGAAAATCCCCAAAGTCGTTCAAGAGAAAATGAAGGGAGCAGCTATGACAGAGGGAGCCAAGTTGAACCCCACTGATGACGTAGGTGATTTAGTTTGGATTACCAACCATGCTGTTACAAAAGGTAAGTCTCCTCAAACTAAACCCCAAGTTCCATAGGACCATTATGTGTGCAAGTGAGATTTCTTCGAAGAGCAATTTACAGACTCCGTCAATAGAGAAACAGGCAAAGATTTGCCTCCAAAACCCAATGCGAACAGGATGAAACCCTTCTACTATGAACCAGTAGCAGGACTACCTGACCCTCTAGGTTAGAGCACCCAGAAATGCGCCAGAGCCACAATCCAGATGAACCCCCTATCTGACTCCTCACAACAGGACTCCTGCTGGCAGAAAGGTGCCAATGAAGAGACTAACTGGCCGCTGAACCCCCATCCAAAGAAAACCAATGGATTCCTAAGGAACCGTCCTCAAAACGTTAATAATTCTAAGGTACCTCCTCCTCAAACAAGCAGTAAGCGAAAAAGATAGTAACAATGCTGACCAATACTACCCAGTTGAACGATTGCTGCGTCAACAAATGAAAAGTGGTAAGCGCCACTATCTAGTCAAATGGGTAGGCTATTCACAAACTCTTCATGGGAACCAGAGAATGTTCCTGGATGCAATTCTGCTTTTCATGGAGGAGGGTTTCAAGATCAGGTAAGGTACGACGCCGTCACTACTGCTTTTGAAAGTTACTGATGACCGGTGACATCACTAGGTAGTAATCTTATCAGGTACGAGGTGAGGGTAGACGTCCAACATCCAGTCATTGTCAGTCATGCAGATGTTTCAATAGTATTATAGTGCTAGAAGCAGATGAGCGCTCCTGCTTCAAACCCAAACCCCTTGTGCTGTCCCCCTGCATGGCGCCAATAACAGTCTCCCTTTCCATTGTAGGTACTGGACACATATACCGAATCCCTCATACTGGTACTCCTAATTCACGCAGTTGGTTTCCATACAATCAGTCCAAGTCACGACATTCTAAGACCAAATTATGGTGTGTGCCTTTACATTCCAGAACGAAGACCCAACTATCCGGTGATTTTGGTCGCATTCTTTCCAAATCCTTTCGCCAGAAAGCAATCCGCCAGAGTTCAAATT